AGTTTCGGTGGAGGAAATGTGGGATCTGCAGTGTGCACTCCTGTACCCATCTGGTGGGCAGGAGTGGGTGGGCACGAACCAGGAGGAGGATTCCATCCCACTAGTACGCCCTGATGAGCCCCTCAGCACCCTGATGCCTGCTGAATGGAGGCCTCTCTTCGTGCTCTGAACGAACCAGAATGGCGCAGCTCTCACTGAGTGCTGACTGTGTGCCAGACCCTCTCCTAAGCGCTAAGCATAACAGTGAAAAGTCAGACATCCATGATCTAATGAAAGCTAGGTCTGAAGTGGGGCTGGGGGAAGATAGTAAATAAATATGTCAGGTGATGAACATTCTATAAAGAAAATTAAAGCAGGGTAAGAAGATACAGAGTGCAGAGAGGATGCTATTTTGAAGTTGGTGGTTATAATATCACCACACACCTGTTAGAAAGGCTATTATCAAAAAGACAAGACACACTCATCAGGGTGTGGCTCAGTGGTTGAACGTAGACCTATGAACCAGGAGATCACGGTTCGATTCCTGGTCAGGTCACATGCCCGGGTTTCAGACTTGATCCCCACAGAGGGGTGTGCAGGAGGCAGCTGATCAATGATTGTCTCTCATCACTGATGTTTCTCTCTCTCTCTCTCCCTGTCTCTTCCTCTCTGAAATCAATCAATAAATAAATACACACACACACACACACACACACACACACACACACAATTTAAAGCCAAACTAATAGAAATAGAGTTGAATGGTGGCTGCCAGGAGCTCAGGGGTTAGAGAAATTGGGAAATGTTGGTCAAAGGATACAAACTTTAAGGCAGGGGTCCTCAAACTACGGCCCGCGGGCCACATGCGGCCCACCAAAAACATTTATCCGGCCCACCGGGTGTTTTTGCCGCCACTGCCTGTCCCGGGCCCGCAGTGCGCATGTGTGGAATGTCTGAGGGACAGTGAACTGGCCCCCTGTTTAAAAAGTTTGAGGACCTCTGCTTTAAGGTATCAGTAAGTTCTGGGGAATCTAATGAGCAGCACTGTGACTATAATTAACAATACTGGCCCTAGCTGGTTTGGCTCAGTGGATAGAGCATTGGCCTACAGACTGAAGGGTCCCAGGTTCGATTCTGGTCAAGGGCACATGCCTGGTTGTGGGCTCAATCCCCAGTAATGGGTGTGAGGAGGCAGCCGATCAAAGATTCTCTGTCATCACTGATGCTCCTATCTCTCCTTTCTCTCTCTGAAATCAATAAAAATATATATATTTAAAACAATACTGTATTATGTACTTGAAAGTTAAGAGAATAAATGTTAAATGTTATCACCACACACACAAAAAATGGTTATTATGTGAGAAGTATTGACTAACCTTATGGTGGTAATCATTTTGCAACATATACGTATATCAAATCATCACACTGTACACCTTAAAAATGAGAATCATTCATCAGCTGCCTTCTGCACGCCCCACAACCCAGGCATGTGTCCTGACCAGGAATCAACCAATATCTCAAGAAAGCTGGGGGAAAAAATAAAGTGAGTGGTTAGAGGCGTGATAGATGCCTAAGCAGAAACCAGAAGTGAAGGAACAAACCATAGGAAGAGATCTCCAGACAGAGAGCCAGGGTAAAGGCCCAGCGGCAGTGTATTCCATTGCTGAAATAGCACCCTAGGGCCCATAGTTTTACAAGTTGGTCCTCTTGTTTGTCAAATAGACTTATAGGAGTAAGGTGGCTGGTCATGACTTTATCAACTTTTTGCTTGTCAGCTGACCACTACCTACTTGAAACCCTTTCCTCTCCTAGCTTCTGTGACACCATACTCATTTCTTTCCCTACCTTTTTTTATTATTATTGATTTCAGAGAGAGAAAGAGAGGAGAGAGAAATATCAATGATGAGAATCATTCATCAGCTGCCTTCTGCATGCCCCACAACCCAGGCATGTGTCCTGACCAGGAATCAACCATGACCTCCTGGTTCATAGGTCGACACTCAACCACTGAGCCACACTGGCTGGGCACGTTATCCTCCCACTTCTGGTTGAAAACTCTGGTTAATCCTTGAACACTTAGAACACAAGGGAAGCCCATCCTCAGAATCACTGTCAGAAGCAACAACACATCAGGGAGTGATTCTGCACCTTGGAAGACATGTGTCAACACCTGAAGACATTTTTGACTGTCACAACTGGGGGAAGGGGAAGAGCTACTGGCATCTAGCAGGTAGATGACAGTCAGGGAGGCCACTAAACATCCTACAATGCCCAGGACAGCCCCCAGCAACAAAGGATTATCTGGCCCCAAACATCAATAGTGCTGAGGCTAAGAAACCCTGTCTAGATGAATCCTATACAGGGTTTTAACAAGGGTTTGGATTAGCTTGGCGACATTTAAGCCAATATTCCAGCTGGCATGTACTTTCAGTTTGATCACCTCAGAGGATTCTTTCAATCATTTAATTCACATTTCTTTCAAACTCTCACTGAGAATTTCCAAATTCTGTTTCTGGAGTGACACCTACTATAATCACTCCACTCTATCAACATACTTGAGTTGCCATGTTCTCCCAGAACCCATTCAAGATGAGACAGCCTCTGGAATGCTGTATTTTTCAGACATATGACAGCAAAACCTATCTGAATCCAGCTTTCACTCACTCCAAATCACATGGTGCTTGGGAACTTCTTTTGGTTTCCAGCCAACATATGTATGAAAATCCATTGGACTGAAAAACGACAACTGTAGGCTCAAGGTCCTTTACAATCTCGGTAACTATGGATTCGAAGTTAACTCTCTTCTGGATCAGACTGAATTGATTCACTTGTTCTTGCTGATAGACTCCTATAGTTACCTCCACAATTTTATTTTTTTAAATGATTGGTGAATAAAATTCTTTTTTAAAAAAACATTTTTTATTGATTTCAGAGAGAAAGGGAGATAGAAACATCAATAATTAGAGAGAATCATTGATGGGCTGCTTCCTACATGTGCCCCACGGGGGACTGAACCCACATCTAGGCCATGTGCCCTGATCTGGAATCCAACTGAGACCTCCTGGTTCAGGTCGACACCCAACCACTGAGCCACTCCACAATTTTAGAATGAGCTGTGGAGTGATCTTTACCTGCCACAATTGTAAGTATCTAAAGAAATGAGCTGCCATGCTGTCCCTCCATCATTTCTCTTTAAGTTGTTCTTCTAAAATATAGAGGTAAGTTAGATCACCAGCAAGACTCTACAGAATGCTGATAGCCGGTTTCCTCTAATGTAGCCAGTGCTATTCAGGTTGGGTTTTTTTTTCCTGTTACTTAAATTTATCGGGGTGACATTGATTAATAAGATAAGTTTCATGTGTAAACGTCTATAATACATCATCTGTATAATGCATGGTGTGCTCCCCTCACCCCCCCCTACCCCCGGAAATCTAGCTTCTGTCACCTCCTCCGGTTTTTTGTTCAGAGTAGCCACTGGGCTCTGGGCAAAGAGGTGCGAGGACGTGAGGACAATGTCAGCTGCATCTTTCCCTGAATAAATGAAATGCAAAAGGGGAGGCAGGGACACCCCACCTACATATGCATCCTTTAGTAAGTCCTACCCATCACCTTCCCCGGAAGGACGCTCAGTCCCACCAACACTATGTGAGTGCCATTTTCTGGATCACCTCTAGCCAATAATGAACTTGAAAACTTTGAAATACTGACCATTTGATGGGGGGGGGGGGGGAATGTTATCACACTGTTGAATTCTCCTTTCCCTATTGTATTCCACTAATTTTTTTAAAAAAAGACTTACCACCTATGCATTTTCTCTCATTTTAAACGGACAGTATAGTCTCTACCACTAGATGTCAGTATTAGCACTTGCCGTGCACCGTGGTGACAACCTACAAGCCTCCGGACTTTGTAAAAAGTTCCCGGGAGGGGAGGGGAGGGGAGGGGAGGCAGCGGGGGATCCCGTTCACCCAGAAGCTGAAGAATATCGAGATCGCACTGCTCCGGAAGAGCTAGAATATGCGGAAATACCTAAGCGGCCAGTATCACCTCAGCGGTCCTTTCTCTCAACTTCTGTGACACCACGCTCTCACGGTTTCCCCCCCTCTCTCTAGTCTCCTTTCCTGCACTTAAGTTTCGGGGTACTCGGGCTCTTCGCCTCCCCACTTACTCCAGCTTTAAACGGCATCGCTAGTGGATAAGGCGCCTCCCAAACCAAGGGGGAGGGATGGCATTGGGACAACGGACCCTCCGTACGGGGGAGGGATGTGCGCGCCTCTGCAGGAGGGCTGCCAGGTCCCGCTCAGGCTTCTTGGGCCAGAGGCCTCGGCCGTGTTCCCCTGGTGAACACCGCCGCGAGCGCTGGGTTGCCACGCACATAGCGAAGTGCAGGTGACTCCAGCTGCCAGCGCTCCCAAAACCACCCCAAAGAGGAACAGAGGAACGTGCAGGGACGGGGGTGAAGGCTGGTAACGGCTGTGAGCGAAACCGGGAGAAATAGAGGCCCGGAGGGAGGTTCGCTCGGATCGCGATCCCGGCCAATTCCCACCCAACCTGGGATTCTGTTAAATGAGCACGTTTCCCCGCCCCCCGCTCCCTCCACTCCCACCCCCCGAGCGGGAACCAATCCTTGGTTCTAATACGCAGCCTCGTTTTAAAGAACCAATCACCAGGCCACAGAGACCTATTATGACAACGACGAGAGCCAATGAAAAGCGGGAGTTCTCTAGCCGGCCTCCCAAGCGCCAGTCCCGAAAAAGTCACCCAGGGGGAGGTTTTCGGAAGGTACGAAGCGGGAGGTAAGGTCGCGTCTGGGCGACCGGATACTACGCTTACAAAGACAGGTGGAGAGGAGTCTGTGAGCGCGTAAAAGAGCACTTCCAAGAAGCCTCGCAGGCGGCGGACCCACACGTCAGCCTCGAGCCGAGGGCCCCAGCGCGGAAAGGGGCGGGGGGTACGTGCTGCGCGCTGACGTAACACGCCGGGCCCCGCCCCGCCCGCCCGCCCTTATAGCGTAACACTGGCGCGCGCGCACACCATTGTGTGGCTGGATTTGGCCACCGCTGCCGTGGAAGGCGTGTGTCTGGGGTTTTGCCATCCCCGCACCCGTGCCGCGGCTTCTGCTTTGCGGTTCGCCGTCCGACCGTCAGCCCTCGGGGCCCTCGCCCGCCACGGACATGCCGCGCGTCTACATAGGGCGCCTTAGCTACCACGTCCGGGAGAAAGACATTCAGCGCTTTTTCAGTGGCTATGGCCGCCTCCTTGAAATAGACCTCAAAAATGGGTGAGTGTGACCGGGGCGCCTGCGTCATTTCATAACGCTTCGAGCCTTGCGGCGGCGGAGCACCTTTAGACGAAAGAGGCGGTCAAGGCCGCGCGGCGCCGCGTCGCACAGCCTCCAAAATGGCGGCGACGCGGCGCGGAGGGGGCGGGGGCCGTGTGCGCGTGCGCGTCCCCGCCCTAACGTCGTCCCGCCTGTCCCCGGCCCTCGCGCCGCCCCCTAGGTACGGCTTCGTGGAGTTCGAGGACTCCCGCGACGCCGACGACGCCGTTTACGAGCTGAACGGCAAGGACCTCTGCGGCGAGCGCGTGATCGTGGAGCACGCCCGGGGCCCGCGCCGGGATCGCGACGGCTACAGCTACGGAAGCCGCAGTGAGTCCCACCCCCGCGCGCTCCGCGCCCTTGGGACCGGGGGGCGGGCGCAGGCCTAGAGGGGGCGGGGTGGGGCCTCCCGACCCGGGCGGGCGCGGCAGGCGGGGTCGTTTGACTCGGGCGGCCCAGGGACCCGCTGCCTTCGCGCCAGCCCGGGGCACCCCGGGACGCCGGAGCGCGGAGACCGGGTCGTGGGGCTTGCCTAGGCAGAGTCGGGGTGCTTGGGGTTTCTTTGCTAAGTTGGGGGCGGGTGGGTTGTTCGGGGCCCCTGTCAGCACTGCCGTGGGCTCCGCCCGCCGAGGAAGTGAGGGGTGGCTCTATTTGTTGTATCCCCCCTGCTTACCTGCCAGTGCGTTAGCTAGAAATGGGGGTGTCTTAGCCTAGGAGTTTGGAGCAGGCTGGGGCGGGGGTGGGGTGGGGTCGGGGAACGGGGAACGGGGAGGGGTTCTGAGTTTAGGGCTTAGAGTTGTTAAAATTGGCGGGGGCCAAAGAAAACGCTATATCGAACTAATGTGGCATATGCCACGAGTAGCGCTAAATACGCTTTATGGCAGTGCTGCATTTGAACTAATGGGGGCATGTTATTGGGAGGAGGTGGGGGGGTGGTTATGTTAAATGTTTGATGTTGAAATTGTTGCATGTTGAATTCAAACTTTTTAACAAGTCCTTGATGTTTCAATTTAAAAGTGACCAATGGGGCTGAGGCTGTGTCCACTGAGGCTAAGATGACTGCCTTTCCTGATTGGCCTTGGCTTTTCCATACATTGTGTGACCCTTGCCCTATGACCCTTTGGCTGACCTTACCGGAAGCCATGACGACAGCAGCCTTTTGCCATTAGACGCAGGGTGATGGTGAGGATTCCAAGGGTTAGACAAAACTGGTTAATCTGAACTAGGTGACTGTTACCTTGCGTGTTTTGTGGCCAAACCACCACCAAAAAGCTCACACTGTGATGTAAGTACTTAGTGTAACTAGTAAACATTTTTGTAAAATGTAGAAATGCATGTAATCAGTTAAGTTTTATATTTTACAATGTTCTGTAAAATAAAACTTAGCGAGGTAAATTGAATAAAGGAGCAGTCACTCTCTAACAGATTGTAGGAGAAGTTTAGTTGGATTTAGTCTATTTGGCTTGCCCTTAATTTAATTTGTGGCAAATCACAACTGTATCAAAGGTGTAGCAATATAATAGCAAAGTCCTACTCCAGTAAATAAAAGTTGATATGTTTGTACTAACTTTCAGAAACTTGTGTCCCTATCATTACAAAGCATCTAATCGTTTTCTTCGTGTGATAAAGGTGGTGGAGGTGGATACAGCAGTCGGAGAACTTCTGGCAGAGACAAATATGGACCACCTGTTCGTACAGAATTCAGACTTATTGTAGAAAATCTTTCTAGTCGCTGCAGTTGGCAAGATTTAAAGGTATGTGCTCTAATTAGAAATAAAAGTGATAGGAATGTTTAAAAGATAGGTAGGCTCTTGTTTCACTTTATTCTTGAAAGTCAGATATAGCATGTATAGATCTTTAGATTTCTGGGTCTGACATGTCTTGTTGCTTTTTACAGGATTTCATGAGACAAGCAGGTGAAGTAACCTATGCGGATGCTCACAAAGAACGCACAAATGAAGGAGTTATTGAGTTTCGCTCCTACTCTGACATGAAACGTGCGCTGGATAAACTAGATGGTACAGAAATCAATGGCAGAAATATTAGGCTCATTGAAGATAAAGCACGAACGAGCCATAGGCGGTCTTACTCTGGAAGCAGATCAAGGTAACTTGAATAGTGGAGAGGGAAGGATATAATGCTTGCCAAGAACAAAGAAAAATTCAAATGAGAGTCTCTTAATTGATACTTAATTGAAATTAGGTCAGTTTTGGGCTGCATCATTGGGTTCTTTTCCAGATGTTTTGACAGTGGATTTAAATTGTAGTAAGCAATTACATTTTGTGTTGGTCTGTTTATTGTTCTTTGTAAGTGGCACAAACCTGTTGAGATTAAATTTTTGTTACGGTTCTTAATAGGTCACGATCTAGAAGGAGGTCACGAAGTAGGAGTCGCAGGAGCAGCCGCAGTAGATCTCGAAGTGTCTCAAAAAGCCGCTCCCGGTAAATAATGTTGGGTCTTGATGATGCTGTATTTGTTTATGGCGTATTTGTGTGTTCTGGCAAGGTACTGAAAGAAAAATCTGGCTTTTCTTGTTCAGATCCAGGTCTCGGAGCAAAGGTCGATCACGTTCTCGGTCCAAAGGCAGGAAATCTAGATCAAAGAGCAAATCAAAGCCCAAGTCTGATCGAGGCTCCCGTTCACGCTCTCGAAGCAGGTCTAAGGATGAGTATGAGAAATCTCGAAGCAGGTCTCGATCTCGATCTCGTTCCCCCAAAGAAAATGGAAAAGGTGATATAAAGTCTAAGTCTAGATCGAGGAGCCAGTCTCGTTCCAAATCTCCCCTACCTGCTCCTCCCTCAAAGGCTCATTCTGTGTCCCCTCCACCAAAAAGAGCTTCAAGATCTCGTTCTAGATCTCACTCAAAGTCAAGGTCACGGTCCAGATCAAGTTCCAGAGATTAACCCAGAACTCTATGTTCTTTGCACACTATTATGGAACACTTTCCTACTTGCTTAGGCAGTTACTCTTCCATGTTTGTACTTGGCCTCTTTTGTAAGAGGAATCTCCTGAAAACAAGGGCACACAGAAATTTGATTTGTGGCCAAATTTGATGAAAAAGATGGGGTTCTAAAGAAATGGTGGCATGAAGACCTCCTCCCTTCTTTGTAGAATTAAGATAACTTTGATTTTATAGCTTTTGAGCTAAAATAACTTTTGTAAAGATTAAGCTCATTTAGATTTTTTTTTTTTAAGTATTTCAGCAGGATCTGCTGCAGGGGTTTTGTTGTTTTGTTTGCAGACTTTTAAATTTAAACAGTTTCAAGCTTTGGATACTTAAGGCTTTAGAGGGAGAACCCATTTTTCAATTATGTTGGCTTTTTATAAAGCCTGAGTTATGTAAGATTTCAATAAAAGTTTGCTACCAAGATGATTGCCTTATTGAATAGGTCGCTATTACTTTTAATATTGATAACCTACTGTTTGTGGAAACAATGTAAATTCTACTCAAATGTAAAACAAGGCAAGCCTCAGACCAGCAATAAATTATTCAATTTCGATAAAAAAATTTTTTGTTCTGTTAATCAAATTTGCCAAAGTTATTGCATCTGCCCATTTAACAAGTTAGGTTAAAAATAAAATATTTTATAGTCAACCTGTTACGCAGTTTTGCCTAAATTAATGAGTTTTAAATAAAACCTTATTTTCTTTGATACTTTTTAATTTAGATGTTTATAAGGAATGGTTGGATTGTTTGTTTTTTCCAATATAAACTGCAGAATTTCAGAGAAGAAACTGGTGCCTGTAATTATAGTTCATTATTTTGCTGATTTGGAAGAACAAAAGTTCATGACTTAAAGAAGAGGCAAGCCTCCACTGCTTTTCAGAATTTGGTGTGTAAGGACAAGTTAAAGACTTGGCTTTGACCAAAGTTCTCTTGTTTTTAGGGAAAAAACAAAAGTTTTTAGAAGGAGAGGGTGGGGGATGCTACAAGGTGAAATTTGACTCTGAAAGTATACAACATCCTCATGTTAATGTTATATCACATGATATAATAGGCAGCTTTGTCCACGTTGTTAGCTGCCCCATAGTGGATATAGGTGAATTCCTATGTTCGTAAATTTTTATAGTAACGGCAAAGACCAGCTTATTAAAAATCTAGTCTTATTCCACACCTGTGGACCTCCATCATTAGATAGCTGAACCATTATAGCATTGGCCTCCTTGAGAACAGAGTTGACTGATGAAATTAGTTTCTTGCCAACTTGTGAGTTGAGTCCAGCAGTCTACGACATGCCACGTAGTGATCTGTGACTAGATGGTGTATTAAGCTGATAGCGAAAGAGAAGTGGGCAACCTCTTGATTCCCCTTTATTTTACCTGACTGTTTATTAACACACCATAGTGCCTTTATGGCCAGTTTGAGTCCTACCTGCTCCTGTGTTACCATCTTTCATCTTTGGTATCTTTCTCCCACTTTGTTAACCTATTTTATGCTTAATCTCAATAAAATGCTTACCGAGGGAAAGGCTTGTTTTGGATTTATTGTGTATTCCCACTTAGTGCCAAATTCTTAGTGTCAACTCTAGAATTAGAGTTGCTATTTCTGACTTGACTATGAATAAAAGGATCTAGTTTTCAGTTCCCCAGAAATGGTTTGAGGATCAGCTGAATCATTGGCCCATTTTGTGCTTAAGTGTCATCCATGAAGTAAGGATAAACCATTTGCTAGCTATTAGGAAGCATTAAAAGTACTAAATCTTTTTTGTATTAGCCCTGTCTTATTTTTACAATTTTACCCATTTTTATCTTGTAGCAGTTTGAATGTTTTCCATGACAGTTATCTATATATCTATATGTATAAAAGCCTAATTGATCAGCCAGTAGCTATAAAACTAGGGCGCAGACGCTCAACACAGGAGCTGCCAAGCTGCAGTTCAGAACTGGAGGAGGGAGCCTGATTCCAGGGTGTGTCACCTGAGAACCACCCTCCTGCAATCCAGGACCCTTGGGGGACATCAGAGAGCCAGTTTCCGTCAGGCCAGGCCCAGGGACTGCACTGGTGCACAAATCCATGCACCAGGCCTTGAGTTTCTTATATAAACTAGGAAGCATTGATCCTCTTAAGTCCTTAATTTAGACTGAGTGCTTTAAACTTTTGGCAATTTATGCTTAGTAAGCCCATCACATTTTATTTATTTTTTTTTTAAAATATATTTTATTGATTTTTTACAGAGAGGAAGGGAGAGAGAGAGTTAGAAACATCGATGAGAGAGAAACATCGATCAGCTGCCTCCTGCACATCTGGGGATGTGCCCGCAACCCAGATACATGCCCTTGACCGGAATCGAACCTGGGACCCTTCAGTCCGTAGGCCGACGCTCTATCCACTGAGCCAAACCAGTTTCGGCCCCATCACATTTTTGTTCACCTTTCAGAAAGCAGTTTTTTGGCTTCATCCAATTTTAGTCCTGTGGCAGTGGAGTGTCTTAGTGCTGATTTAATTAATTACAAAGGTAATAAGTAGCCCTAACCAGTTTGGCTCAGTGGATAGAGCATCGGCCTGCGGACTCAAGGGTCCCAGGTTTGATTCCAGTCAAGGACATGTACCTTGGTTGGGGGCACATTCCCAGTAGGGAGTGTGCAGGAGGCAGCTGATTGATGTTTCTCATGGATGTTTCTAACTCTCCCTCTCCCTTCCTCTCTGTAAAAAATCAATAAAATATTTTTTAAAAAAAGTAAGTACCTGGACTATAAAGTCTCTCTCCTTTAGGACCCACTTACACTCACTAAGGTAGTTGTTGCTGATAGTATCAGAATCTGCCCAGACTTCTCTGGTCATAATGCCTATGTCCTTCAATAAAGCTGTTCATACCATGAGTAGTGAGTGTTCTAGAAACATGGGTTTTTACAGAGTGGGAGGGAGGGGAGATAGAGATTGGTTGCCTAGGGATCGAACCTGCAACTGAGGTACGTGCCCTTAACTGGAATTGAACCCAAGACCCTTTAGTCCTCAGCCAATGTTCTACCCACTGAGCCAAGCTCGCCAGGCCAAATTGCCTGGTTATTTTATAGCAACCTCACCAAAAGGACTCCAGTATAGTACTTGAAGTGATTAACTTTGCACTTGAATAAAAAGGAATCGTGGTTCAAAAATCAGGAAATACCAAAGAACAGTAAAATCTACCTCTGACTCAGAGAAAACCAGGACTAATGGTTTATGCATTCTTTTGGTGATAAAAATCTAAAAAGATTTACATTCCAGATCCATTATGGCTTGTTTGAATTTTATAAAAGAAGTGGTACTGACTATTATCTATAATAAAAGGGTAATATGCTAATTAGACCGGACATCATTCCAGATGTCCTTCCTGACCAAGCTGGGGCCTGAGGGAAGCCAGCCTGGGTCCTGGGTGCCTGTGGGCAGCCGGGGGAAGGAAGGCCTACTCTTGCATGGGGGCTCTAGTAGCTTATAATAGGATGCTATTTTGTAATTAAATTTATATTATTCACTTAACATTCACATTTACACACACTTTTTTTTTTTGCTTTTTACACGCACTTTAAAAGTCATTTCTAAGGAAGTATTAGATGAAGATTTATAAGCAGAGGACTTACTATAAATTATTAAAGCATCAAAACTGCCTATTTCAAAACTCAATTTCTCAAGTGAAAAAAGCACTTAAGAAATCAGGATAAAGAGGCTCAGAAAGTATAAACAGACTTTTTAAACTTTAAAAATCTTAGAGTATTAAAAAAAAAACTATATTTTTCCCATTCAATTATGTATTGTTTCATTTACACATGGTTGTGTGTGTTTTTTTATCTGTGGTGGTCATTTTTCCTGAGCCATCTTAAAGACATCTTGCTTTTTTATCTCAAAATTTATTTCCTAGGACAGGATTGGGGAACCTTTTTTCTGCCAAGGGCCATTTGGATATTTATAACATCATTAGGGGGCCTACAAAATTAGCCTGTTATATTTGGTTAAACAACTCACCCCTAATGCCTCAGCAGGGCCAGAACAAATTATTTTGAGGGCTTTCTATGGCCTGTGGGCCAGATGTTCCCCACCCCTGTCCTAGGAACAGGGACATTCTCTTACAACTATTCATTGAAACCAGGAAATTAGCATTGATGATATACTGTTGTATAACCTATAGTCCATACCTATAATGTTCTTTATATTTTTCCAGTGTTCCTGGATCATTTGCTGAAATTTTTTTCATGGCCCTTTAGTCCAGGGGTCCTCAAACTATGGCCCGCGGGCCACATGCAAGTACAAATATTGTATTTGTTCCCATTTTGGTTTTTTTACTTCAAAATAAGATATGTGCAGTGTGCATAGGAATTTGTTCATAGTTGTTTTTTTTTAACTATAGTCTGGCCCTCCAACGGTCTGAGGGACAGTGAACTGGCCCCCTGTTTAAAAAGTTTGAGGACCCCTGCTTTAGTCTTTAATCTGAACAAATTGTCAACCTTTTTCATGACCATGTCATTTTTGAAGAGTAAAAGACAGTTATTTTGTAGAATTTCCCTCAATTTGGTTTTTTCCTGATATCTCATGATTGCATTTTTGGCAGGAATACCAAGAATGAGACTGTCCTCGGTGTGTCACATATAGTGGCACATTGTAATAACCTGGATCACTTACAAAGTCATTGTTTCCTTTTTTAATCAGTCATTTGATAGGTAATAACTAGTAAATTAAATACTCAGGTCCTTACCAAACTCACCCACAATTAACATTTTTTTATTTTCTAAGTTACATTCTGTAAGAAAGTGCTTTCTGTAGGGGATAGATTGTTTTAAAGATATGGTCAAGGGGGGGGGGGGGGTTGTTTATAGGAGGAGAAGGAACCAGCCATTCTGGAGTTTGAGAAAGCTGCCTAAGGGGGAGCTTTGAGGGCAGATTGTGCTCCATTACTGCGGAAAGCAGGAGAGTGATTTCCCTAGCATAGGGCCAAAAGGGAGCTGGAGGCAGCTTTTACTTAGATGCAAGGAATATGCAGTAGAAAATAAGCTGTGTCCTCAATCTGTAAAACAGCACCTTCTAATATTGTGAAGTGCTATTATCAAAGGGCTTGGCACAGCCACTGGTTAATTAGTAGCTGCCTTTATTAAAATACAGACAGAATGGTCAAACGCTAATATTCTGGTCCATTGAGAAAAAAGCAAAGCAATTGATGAGTATGCTGCCTAGGTCTTAATATCTACTACTACAGTGGAACCTCACTTCAACATAATTCATTCCGGAAGGCTTTTTGAAAACAAGTATTTTTTTTTTATTAGAATGTAAATTGACTTAACCCATTCTAGACCCCTAAATGATGCCCTGTTTTAACCTTTCTTATATACAGTACATATCTAATCTATTGTTTAGTCTATAAATAAACTACAACAAAAAGGACATGTAAATGAAAATTTAACAAAAAAGAAATGAAATACCCAGTAAAAAATGAAAATTTAATAAGCAGCAACAAAAGCAAAAAAAAAATATTCACACACAATACCTTGAGATGGTGACAGCGGTAAACAGATGCATACTTGCACATTCTCGCCTTTGTAGCCTGAGAGATACGTGACTGACCATGCAGGTAACAGCATGAGGGTTTGTCCAGTTGAAAAGTGAATTGAGATAGGAAACGTTCGAGAAATGAGGTTTGACTGTACTTGAGTCATTCATGAATAGCCTTGAGTGTACTATTTAATCATTGTTGTTACTACTAACAAATTTCAAACACCAGCTAGACTCATAGTAGGAACCTCCCATATACTCAACCAGCTTTAACTATCTATATGCCTGCCCACTTCGCCAGATAACTTTGAAAGAAATCCTAGACATTACAGCTGAAGATAGTTCATTATGTACTTATAAAAGACATCTTAAATCTCCTTAATTTATTGGGTTTCTGTTTAGGTGTCTGGTTTTGTCATAGTGGCAGCCATTGATCTTTGTCTACATCCATTAAACTGTGAAGCCATAATTTTAAACATTTTTCAATTCATGGGAGTCAACTCAAGTTGCCTCCCGAGTTCTTCTGAAACAGCCCTAATAATCTTTGCAGCTTCCTTGACTCCTTCTATGGTAAGATTTCTAGGCTCATCGTTTTTGTTTGTTTGTTTTTAAAGTTTAAAGTGAAAGTTGTGAGTTTATTAATGAAGTCCAGGCTCATCTTTTTAGTCCCATACCTGGAATTAGTTATTTCTCTAAGGAGCCCTGCTGACTTTCATTTGGAAATGGCATTTAGCAACCACAAGCTGGGTCCTTGGGGTGTTCATTGCTACTCGTTTGATCATAGGCCTTTTCAGTGGACAGAGCCAGGGAAACCATTGCCTGAATCTTCTTCAGGCCGCAGAGATCATGTTACTTACTGCTCTTGTAAAGGTCCTCTTCAGGCTAACCATCCTTTTGACCCTGCCTCAGTGCAGCAGTTTTGAATCAGTTGTCCCGTACTCTGATTTGTGAGTATCCCTCTTACTGAGTGGGGCCCACTAGTAGACACAGCACTCCCAGTTTGCACTAACCTGCTCAGAGCAGAACGATAGTAGATGGCCTCCCTGCCCTAATAGATGTTTCCTCACTTGAATTCTGGGCCAGTTCTGACAAAAGGGTGAGGATACTATTTCTTTAATATTTGTGCAGAATCTCTTCTGTACCTACAGAAGGTTTAAAGCAGATAGTGTGCCATCTTGCTCTGGATAATAGTAGAGAAGGAAATTCAGAGCCTAAATTTAAATGTGATGACAGCATTATAATTGGAATAAGCAAATAACATCGTAAATTATAGCTTTCATCCACCTTTGCTAAGATGACTTTGCCCTTGCAGACCTAGCAGGAACTGAAGCCCAGATAGCTGTGGCTGTGATTGTAATAAGATGATTGATGCTCGTAGGTCTGTTCAGGAAACCCTCAAAGAGTGTAGCACCTTAAATCACCAGGGTCCAAAGGTCCAAAGTCACATTCCGTACTGCCAGAAATTTCATATATTTATTTATATATATTTATATATATATATATTTTTTTTATATATTTTTTCTACATATCGCCATTTCTCCTCCATAAGCAGAGTACTTCCCATCCCTTGATTTCGACCATGTAATTTTAGTAGGCATGACATATTTGGTAGATGAAATATCTAATCCCTGAAACCTGTGAATGTTATCTTACATGGTAAAAGGGACATTGCAGATGTGATTAAAGTCTGGGAGTGTGATTATTCTGGTGGGCCCAGTGTAATCACAAGGGTCCTTATAAATTGAGAGGCTGGTGATCAAAAATCAGAAAAAGTGTGAATTCGGAAACAGAGAGAAATTGGAAGATGGCTTTGAAGACTGGAAATTGGAAAGGGCCACAGGGCAAGAAAACAATTCTCTCCGAGCGAGCACGGCACTGTCTACACCTTTATCTTGTCCCAGCGAAACCCATTTTGGATTCTGATCTCCAGATAAATTTTTTTTAAGCCTCCATATTTGCAGTAATTTGTTACTACAGCTAGCTACAGGAAACACAACAGGACTAAAGGCTTAAGAAGCACAAGTGGGCTCAGTCTTTTGCATCTCTGCCACCAGCTCTCTAGAAGAGGATCAGTTATTTGACCAATTTTACTATTAGTTTTTGTGGTAGGCAGAATGATGGTCCCCCAAAGATGTCCATATTGTAATTCCTGGGACCTGTGAATATGTGCTGTTATGTGGCAAGGGGGGATGAAGGTTGCAAATAGAATTACATTTGCTGATCGGCTGACCTTGAAATAGGGAGAATATCCTGGATTGTTTGGGTGGGCGGATGTAATCACCAGGGCCCTTAAAAGATGGAAAAAGAAGGCAAAAGTCAGTCACAGTGATGTGACATGAATAAAACTGTTACTGTCCATTTCTGGCTTTAATGACAGAGGAAGGGGTCATAAACCAAGGAAGGTAGAAATTGGAAAAAGACAAGAAAACAAATTATACCGCCTCCAGAAAGGAAGGCACTTCTGCTGACACCTTGAGACCTAGTGAAACCCATTATGGACTTCTGGCCTCCAAAACTATAAGATAATAAAGTGATATTTGTTTTAAGTCAGTAACCTTGTGGTGATGTGTATTCAGCAGCAATAAAAAAATAATACCTTTTGTTGTTGTAATACCCAAAGACATTTTTCCATTGATTTTTTTTTTAAGAGTGGAAGGGATGAGGAGAGGCAGAGAGAGAAACATTGATGTGAGAGAGACAGGTCAATTGGTTGCCTCCCACACATGCCCCCGAGTTGAGCTTGCAACCAGGTATGTGCACTTGACCAGTATCATATTTCAACCCTTCAGTCTGCGGGCCGACACTCTATCCACTGAGCAAAACTGGCTAGGGAAAACTAATGCAATTTGATCGACTGATTCTTTTTCATTGGGTGCCTCGGCATCATCGTAAAACATGAATTCTAAAAAATATATTGAGAACAAGGTTCAGATATTTAGTACAGTTGGGGTAAGGGAAATGGCTGGGGCTCTGGCCTCACTGAGACAGATTTTTCTCATAGTTACAAATATAGGTATCAATTCCCAAAGCCAGATAGAAATTTTGTTAGTCTCTGACGTGCTGGATAACGTACACCCACGCCCAGGGGTAAGCGGTACCTTAAGCTAACCATGTTTGATGGAAATGTGGCCCTCCCCTGCCTTCCCCACCATGGGCTCACAAGTGTATAGTCTGGGGGTGGGGAGTGTCCAGTCTTTATACCGGGGATTCAGTTCCAACTCCCATTATCACATGACCCAAGATTCCATCTGTCATAGGTGTGATGAAACGACTCCCTAGCAGCTGGTTCCTGCCTCTATCCAATAGCTACCTCCAGGACAAGGGAGACATCAGGCCTCCTTGCTCTGTTCGCCTCTCTGTTTCTGGCTCCTGCTGATTTTTCCTTCTTACAAATTCAGCAATGAATTTACTTTCCTCCTTTATTGGCTTGCTGGCTTGCTTCCTTTCTTGTAATATTTTATCCAGGATTTGGGGGTGTTTGTGTTAGAAAGGGTTCCCTATTAGCAAAGTCTGCCATGTTGCTGAAACCAGAAGTGTTTTCACACTTACATAAAAGGCACATCCTGATGATTTTCCTAAAACACATGGATTGCCCCAATGATGAATTAAAATCTGTAGGAACAGAAAGGTGTTACAAATAAGTTTTCTCAGTGTTTCTAATCATCAATATGTATATTTCCATTGATTTTTAGAGAGAGTGGAAGGGAGGGAGGAAGTGGGGAGAGGAAGAAACATCAATTAGTTGCCTCCTGCTCATGCCCCAACTGGGGCTGCAACTGAGGTATGTGCCCTTGACCGGGAATCAAACCCGTGACCCTTCGGTCCACAGGCTGGTGCTCTGACCACTGAACTAAACCAACCAGGGCTCTAATCATCAGTATTTTAAATGTTGGGGGTCCACTCTTGGTTAGGGAGTTAACTTAAAGAAGACACTAGGAGCCAAAGGGTTGGACTTGTTCACTTGCTCCCTGGGGGCACACTGGACCAGCAGAGCAAATTCTGGCTATAGGAGGCAGAACCTTCCTCAAATCACATTAACTTGGGAAGGGCTCTCCATCCCCGAAGGTGTTCAAGCAAGCAAGCCCACCAAAGGTATGAAAACCAACGTACTGTTAATGAACAGAAAAATGGTATCTCAGCAGCTCAAATCCATGCTCATTCCAGAGTCCCCCAGCTCATACTGGTCTGAGTCACTACCTCAAGGATGCATGTTGTTGAGAAGCCATATGTTTGTGTAGCTCCACCACTTTTTTTTAATCATCTGAAAACCTAAAATAAACCCTTTGGAATCTAGAACAAGCACAAGTCTGTGTAGAGATGAGAGAAAAATGAGCGGATGGTTGTGTGTGTATTGATGTGTAAAAAGAAACCTATTGTTATGGCAACCAGCATCCTCAACTGATGCAACCTTGTTCCCAATAATATATGATTAAAAATGGACATTGCAGCGAGGCAGAACACATGCAGTGCATTGGCATAGCAACCAGGATAGTTTAATGCTGCATACATTAAACCTGATGGCCACAACAATTTGGGGAATTTTGCCTACAATTGATAAGGAACAATTTCCTCATCTGGACTTGAAGTCAGGAACCTGTAGGTCCAACCTGTGGCCACCACCTTAATAGATTCGATTAAATCATTGGTGTAGGAAAAGGGGCTGCGGTTCTAGAACGTACCAAGAAGCGCTGTGTTTTCACCCGCATGCGCACACCATTTAGTCAACAGATATTTATTGAGCATTCACTCAGCATCCCGCTCTGTGCTGGGAGTTAGGAATAAAAAAAACGAATGTTTTTTTCCTTGCTTCTTGGAGCTCGCAGTTTCTTAACCTCTTACATCACACAAATCCATGTAAATGCCACAGGAACCAGTAAAGGGAGAATTGACTAGTTATCTTGTGGACTCGAGAGATAGAGCTGCCAAGGAAATTGAAGCACAGAGGAGGGGTGACTTGCTCCAGGCAACACAACCACAGGAACGATTACTGAGAACCACCATATGCCAGCAAGTAGGTGACAGTTTTTACAAATGGAGGATAAAGTGTTGTGCCCCAAGCCACACTCTCAGCCAAAGGCAGTGAAGTCATCCAAACGCAGGAGCGGCTTAATGCCGCCTTTAACCCAGGCAGGGCCGGCCAGAGCCCACGCCGCGCGCGGCCTCCTTCCCTTGGATCGCAGTCCTTCGCCTCTCCAGGGCCTTCAGGGATGCTCCTGGGCTCCCCTTCTGCAGGGGGGTGGGTGGGGGGCAGGAGCGGTGGAAAGGCGTTGGACAGCGAGCGACCGGCCGGGGCGCTGGCTGGAGTGCAGCCTCGCTTCTCTCACCCACCTCTCAGCCCGGGGGCTCTCTCTTGCAGCTCGGCGGTGCGCGCGCCCCCCGGGCGCTGCTGGCTGTGGGTGACCGAAAGAAGCTCCAGCCGCCCGCCCCCGCAGCAGTCCGGCGCCAGAGGGGAAGGGGCTTCAGGCCCACGCGGCCTCGCGGCGCGGGAAGGCAAGCAGAGGGCGCGGGCGCTGCCGAACGCGCGGGCTCCGCGCCCCCCAAACCTGCGCCGCGCGCCGTCTGCACCCCGCGTCCTGCAGGGAGGCGGGCCGTCCCCCAGTGCGCGCAGGCGCGTGCCGGGCTGGGCTCCGACCCGAGTTCGGCGCCGGGCGGCCACTGGCTGGCCTCGCAGGTAGGGAGATCGCAGGCCAGTGGGCTCGGACCCGGGGTGCGGGACTGCCGCGCAACCCGGCCCCGCCCCGCACAGCGACCGCCCGGGGCTGCGGCTCCTGCCCCGCTGTGCGGCTCCGCGGGCTGAGGAGGAGGCTCGGGGGACGGGAGCCGAAGGGGTCTGGGCGGACAGCGGCGGGCCCTGCGGTGCGGGGCGGGGGGGTCCGCCGGGCTGCTGCGGGCCGCGACCTGTGGGTCGGGAGAGAGGAGGCTTCGTTTCTATGAAATACAACCAATTAAGACTTTTTCATTAATGGAAGGCAGTAGTAGAGGGCGGGGCTTGGGTTTTCTTAGGAAATGGGTCATTTGGCAAACTTTTTCTTCCCTTCCGTTCATTTCCGATTTTTATAACGGAAAATTGGGTAATTATTGTTTTCTGCCATAGAGGGAAAGAATAAAAAGAATTCCGCCATTTTGGCGTTTTAAAAAGTAATCGTTCTGCGAGGCTCACGGATCAGTGACCGCCCGGCCCGCCGCCGTCTCTACTAATCCCGGGAGGACTCGGATGGAAGGCGGGCGACGGCTCCCTCCCCTGGAACCCGCTCCCATCCAACCCCCCCCCCCCCCACCCCGCTCACAACCCCCCGCCCCTCGCGTCCGGCGGTGTGTGTGTGTGTGTGTGTGTGTGTGTGTGTGTGTGTGTGTGTCTAGGCTCTAGCTCCCAACCCCCAACGCCTAGACCGAGGGCATTTATTGAGCGTCTGTTGTATACGAGGAGGCCTTGCAAGGCAAAATGTGGGGGAAACTTGGCCGACAGAGAGACCAAGAAAAAACACACACAGCACATTTACTCAGTAAGTATTTCTTGAGCATCTGCTATGTGCCAGACACAGCTGTGCGCTGGGGATCCAACGATTGTTTTAGGTCAGGTTCCCTGGAAACAGACTCTGAGCGGGAGGCTTGAGTGTAGGTTTATTGGGGTGCCCTTGGAAATATCACCCCTACAGGAGGGTGATTGGGCAAAGAAGCTGAACTGCCTGGGTAGTCTCAACAGAAGCCTCAGCCTGTCCCAAGGGAAGCTCTGGGGCTGAGATGGCTTTGCAAAGGTGTCCCAAATTGAGTCAAGGGGGCCGGGCCTTTATAACTGGTATCAACTGGTCAACTGGATAGCCGCTTCGAGGAGAGGGCGCTTGGCGGGGCAGCTCCCCTGGCTGAGGGCAATTCCCTGAGAAGCTGACAGCTGAAGGCTATCAGTGACGGCTTTCACAGTAGCTGGGACCGCCCACTTTATCCCCTCCTCCCCCGGCCTCTGAGCAGCACAGAAGGAGGAAATAGTATTCTAGTCCCTAAGGCAAGAATGGCTAAGCCATTTATGTATTTCAGTACCATTTGTTTCTTATATTATTGACCAGCCTTTACTCCCACCTCTGTGATTCATTCACTCAGTGACTGTTTGTGGGGTGCAATCTCTGGATCAAGTTCTCTGCACACCAGGTGCTTTGTTCTGGGTCTCGGGGAGATGGAGAAGTTAATGCGTAGATTGTGGTGGAGTGGGACACAGGAGAGAGGGTGATTAACTTTGTTTTGGGGGTGGATTCTGGGAGTCACTCGAGCTGCATCTTGAAGGATGATTAGGAATTTTCCAGAAAGATGGGAAAGGCACCAAGCAGAAGGAACAGCAGGTGCAGAAGCCACAGAAGTGAGGTTCTGAACGTGTGACCCAACTGCAGGGGTAGGAGTGGATGGATTCCTTGCACCTGGCTCAGGCCTGGGAGCCACATCAGACCAGTTGTGCTGCTGGGTGGATCTAGTGGGGCATTGCTTATGAACATGTGTGTAAGCTTCAAATATAGGGGTGGTAGCGGAAAGGAGGGGTGAATTCAAGTAATAGAGAAGGCAGTTCCAGGCTTCAGAAAAGCTAATGGTCTAGTTAGGGAGAAAGACCATAGAAATAGTAGGTGCTGCTAGCCAAGCGCCCACAACCACATACAATGGGTCCCAACACAAAGGTGCACAGGGTGATCCTCTCCCTCCTGTGCAGAATTATTCTTTTTCTCCTATACTGTTCATTTCTTCTTCTGTAGGTTCATTTTCATCAGCTACAAACCTGCTGTAACATTTCCTATTTTTAAAAGCAAAACAAACAAACAAAAAACTCTTCCTTGAGACCACATCACTCTCCAAATACCATTTCCATGCTCTCCTTCACATTCCAACCCCTTGAAAGAGTTTAGACCCATTGTCTCTATTTTCCTACAGGACCAATCCTTTCCTACAGTCAGTTTCCCCACTAGACTGTAGACTCTGTGGCAGAGATGTCTGTTTAGTTCACTGATAAATCTGCATTGCCTGGAAGAGTGTCTGGCACATAGTAGGTGTTCAATAAATATCGAACTGATCAACGATTTCTTGTTTTGTTTTGTTGTATTTTCTTTTTCATAAAAAAAAATTTCTCTTTAAAACCCACTCCGTCCAGGTTTTCGTGTCCACAGCTCTTCTGAAGTGGCTCTTGCGGTTTCTGATAACCTCCTTATTGCTAAAATGGCCATCTCTTAGCCCGCATCTGACTGATCTGTCAGTGGCATCCAACACCACCGAGCAGTCCCACCTTCCTGAAAAATTGCCTCCCGTGTCCTCCAGAAGCCCAGACTCTTCTGCATCCCTTCTCACCACATTGCAGATCCCTTCTAAGTCTCTTTTGCTGGAACATCCGCTCCCCATCCTATAAATCTTGGCATGCTGCAAGGCTCCCACCTTTTTCTTCATTCTCAGTCCTAAGGTTTTCAAGGCCATCTCTTCATGATGATTTTCAAATTTTATCCCCAGCCTCAACTTTATCCCTTATTTCTAGAATATTCGCTTCATGAGAGCACTCAGTCTTATTAGAGATTGTATTCCCAGAGCACAGAACGGTGCTGACACTTAGCTGGCCCTGCAGTGTGTGCTGGAGAAAAGGCAGCAAACCTGAGCAGAAGGGCAGTCCTCTCAGTGCCTCCCCTGGATAGACCTGAAACATGTGATAGGTTGGAAACAGAATGGAATTCTTCCAAGAGTAACCGCAGTCACTCTGAATGACTGACAATGTTTTGCATAAACAGGTTGACTCTATTGAAAAGAACTTAAATGGTACAGATAGTATGTCAGCTGTGCGAAGCAAAATAATTGGAATTGGAATTCGGGGAATTGTATTTTGTAAGTGTAAAAGGGGAAACAGACCTTGGTTTGAATGTTGCCTTAATTAATCAGGTTACGTATCTTGCCTTTGCCTACCTGAGTATACACTCTATAATATGAAGGATGGGCTCTATTTTAGGAAGGAAATGCTGGAAAATAAACAAATTCAAAAGAACATCAGGAGGGAGGGTGGGAGAGACAGCAACCATTGGAAGCTGATTTTGCAAGCAAGCAGCTTACATGTTATTAGCCAGAAGCTACCAAGTTCCCTGGAATTTCTGTTAAAAGGGAGTGGATTGGTGTGTGTGTGTGTGTGTGTGTGTGTGTGTGTGTGTGTTTAATATATATATTTCTTTATTGATTTCAGAGAGGAAGGGAGAGGGAGAAAGAGATAGAAACATCAATGATGAGAGAATCATTGATCGGCGGCCTCCTGCATGCCCCCTACTGGGGATCAAGCCCACAACCCAGTCATGTGCCCTTGGCCGGAATCGAACCTGGGACCCTTCAGTCCACAGGCTGATGCTCTATCCACTGAGCCAAACCGGCCAGGGCTGGATTGGTATTTGTTGAAGGCCTTCTGCTATCAAGATTTCACAGATTTTTTTTCATTTAATCTTAAAGCCCTTTAGGTAGATACTATTACCAGGTTCATTTTACACATGAGGAACTGAGCTTAGAGAGGGTAAGCTGCTTACTCAGAGTAATAGGTATTAAGTAGTGGAACCGAGATTCAAACTGTCTTAACTCTGTCTTAAGACTAGGCCCAGCCCTAGCCGGTTTGGCTCAGTGGATAAAGCATGGGCCTGTGGACTGAAGGGTCCTGTGTTTGATTCAGTCAAGGGCATGTACCTCAGCTGCAGGCTCCTTCCTGGCCCCGGCCCTGGTCAGGCTCATGCAGGAAGCAACCAATCGATGTGTCTCTCTCACATCCATATTTTTCTCTGTCTTTCCCTCTCCCTTCCACTCTCTAAAAATCAATGAAAAAATATCCTCGGGTGAGGATTAAAAAATAAATAAATAAAAATAAAGTACCTGTACCATTTAAAAAAAAAATAAATAAGCGCTACATTATTAAGAACAAAAAAAACAAAAACGAGGCTCACATTCTTTCCTTTAATTTGTATGCCAGAAGCCACTATCAAGCACTGCGAACACCTTAAAGCAACCAAGTATCAACACAGTGTTTTTTGTTTTTGTTTTTAATCCTCACCCAAGGATATTTTTTCCATTGATTTTTTAAAGAGAGTGGAAGGGAGAGATAGAGACAGAGAGAAACATCAATGTGAGAGAGATACATCGATTGGTTGCCTCCCTCACATGCCCCAACTGGGGCTGGGGATGGAGCTTGAAACCAAGGTATGCGCCCTTGAATGGAATGGAATCTGCGATCCTTCAGTCCTCAGGCTGATGCTCTAACCACTGCACAACCGGCTAAAGCTCCATATTGTGCTGTTTATTAACAAGTTGAAATTATCGAAATCCAACACACACACTTGTTGAGTACCTAATGTGTGCCAGGCACCATTCTAAGTGCCAGGGATATAGAAGTGAACAAGACAGATAACATCTTTGCCCTCATGGAGCTTACATTTATATGGAGATGACTGATCAAACATAAAGATGTAAATGAAGATCATTATTGATAATAATGAAGGAAATAAACACAGTAATGAGATAAGCAGTAAAAAAGGGTGAGGGGTGGGCTGCTACTTTGAGAGGTTAGGAAAGACCTCCTCTGATGAGGTGACTACTGAACTGAGGCCTGGAGGATGGGAAGAAGGCAGCCAAGCAGACAGCTTTGGGAATAGCATTCCAGGTGGAGGGAACAGCCAGGGCACAGGCTCCGAAGTGGTATGTCAAGCAATAGAAGGAAACCAGAGCCCGTCCAGGGTGGAGAGCACGGGGAAGCGGGTGGGGGATGAGGGTGGAGAGGAAGACGGGTTAGATTCTATAGGGTAAAGCATTTTGATTTTATTTTAAGGGCAATGAAGAGCCATTGAAGAATTTTGGATAATAAATAATGAGATCTACACTTTAAAAGCTCTCTCTTACTGGAGAATAGACTACAGGGGGACAGGAGAGAAAGAACAGGAAATGAGTTAGGAGGCAGTTTCTAAAACCAAGGAGAGCTGATGGTGGTTGGGACTAGCATGGTGGCAATGGACATGGAGAGAAATGGTCAGACTTTGAGGTGTGGTTTGAAGACTGAGCCAACAGGCAATTAAAATATGTATAAAGTTGTGCTTTTCAATACAATAACTATGGCCACTTATTTAAATTAAATAAGATTAAAAATTCTATTTCTCAAGTCACACTTTTCAAGTGCCCAGTAACCACATGTAACTAGTAACTACTGTGTTGGACATTTCCATCATCATCGAATGTTCTACTGAACAGTGTTGGTAAGACAACCAGGACAGTGGCTAACACATTTTAGGAGTTAAGTAATGATTAATATTAAGTATATTTATGTCACTAAGCCTTTTGTTCCCCTATATTTACCTGTTCAACCACCTCTTTATGTTTTTTAAATATATTTTTATTGATTCCAGAGAGGAAGGGAGAGGGAGAGAGAGATGGAAACATCAATGATGAGAGAAAATCATCGATCGACTGCCTCCTGCATGTCCCCCACTGGGGATCAAGCCCACAACTGGGGCATGTACCCTGATGGGAACTCAACAGGCAACCTTTTTGGGTACATGGGATGACACCCAACCTACTGAGCCTTACTGGCCAGGGCTATGCAACAAATGTCTGAGTGTCCACTGTGCTTGGAGAGGGCGTGGTGGACAGGTGGCATAAAAGAACATGATCAGGCAAGACCACCTCCTGGGGAAATGGACCTGTACGAATGAGGGAGAACCTGGTGCTTGCGGGCTCCAAGACCCCAGATGGAGAAGGGAGGATGGAGGTGGAGGGTTGAGAAAGATGGAGTTTGGACTAGGTCTGGGCTCTGTCATGAAGACAGAACCTTGGCCTGAGACATGCTCCCCAGAGTCAGTTCTGTATGTCACAGTTTACGAAGCACCCTCACACATGCCCATCTTACCACGTGAGGGGAAGTGCAGGGCCTGGCCAGAGCCCTCACCGGGTGACCTGGTTACAGCCAGGAGTCAGACTTAATGTTATGTTCCTAAAACACCCTACTCCCCTCGGGGATCACACTTTTCTCTGAGGGTGGGCCTCCTCCTTAAAGAAGCCCCCTCTCCCTCCCTGATCACCCTGGGGGCTGTGTTCTGGTTGTAGGCCTACCAGGATGGAGGGGCATGCTGAAATGGAGATGCTGAGAACCCTGAAGGGGCCCTCTGCAGGGGAGGTCAGCGTGCACCTGGTGGCCAGGGGCAGCCCAGGTTCTGGCCCTCACCTGCCCACTACTGCCTTCATCATTCCAGGTGGGCCAAGCCAGGGGTCTTGGGAGGAGGAGCATCCCCATGCCTGCCCAAGCAGGTGTGGATCCCGGGGAGGAGATGGTACTTTCACCTGCCTACACATGCATGGCGGTTTTGGGGTCGAGCCACCAGGCTCACCTGTGTCGTGTCTGACTGGGTATCTGTTCACAGCCAGCTCTGCCACCCTTGGCCTGCCCAGCAGTTCCCTGGATGTGCCCTGCTTTCCACGGGAGCCGATCCATGTGGGCGCCCCGCAGCGAGTGCCCGGCAGCGTACCTGTCATGGCCACCGTTCTGCCGCAGTTGAGCGCAGGGCCGGCGGCCAGCTCCAGCGCCAGCACAGTGCGGCTTCTGGGGTGGACCGAGGCCCCGGCCCCGGCCCCGGCCCCGCCTCCTGGGGGCGGCCTACGGGTCAGTGTCTCTGGGGATTGGCGGGGTCCAGCCTCAGCTGCGGTGGGGCTCGTGGGACCAGAGGTGGAAAGTGGGGGCAGCTGGCGGGGATGTAGGCTCCGTGGGTGGGGCTTGGAGTGAGGGGCTGGGGGCTCGGCTTGGAGTCACGACGAGTTCTAGAGACGTGGGGAGTGCGGAGTGGGCTCTGGGGGCGTGGCTTGGGCGTGGCCCAGCGGGATACTGGGGCGTGGCTTGGGTGGGCGGGGCCCAGCGCGATGCTGGGGGCGTGGCTTGGGTGAGGCAGTGGGAGAGAGACCGTGAGACTGGAGGTGGGTCCAGGGCCGGGACGGAATCACCGTGTCACGGTCCTGACCCTACCGCGCTCCAGTGCCGGCTACCGGAGTACGCGCCTCGGAACATGGTGGGAGCCGAGCAGCCCCCGAGCCCCGAGCTGCGTCGGGAAGGTGTGGCGGAGTACGAAGCCGGCCAGGCGCCGGCGGGAGGCGGCGATGCGGGCCCCCAACAGCCGGGTAGGAGCCCAGGCCTGAGCGGGGCCCCTGCGCGGGTGGAGCCACGGTCGGGGGCGAGGCCGGGTTCCTGCAGGTGCGCCCAGGGGTTGGTTGTAGGTGGGGAAGGCTTGGGGTGGGGGGGTGCGGGGCGGTGGCCAGTAGAGCAGCCCGAGGAGGTAGGACCAAGGGGGAGGCCAGGGCCTGGGGGACGTGGGCTCCGCAGTGGGAGGAGCCTGGGTGTGGCTGGGATGGGGTGGAGGGCCTGAGGCCCCTTTGGCCCCCACAGCGGACCTCCCCCACGACCCTCCAGGAGACCCCCCGCAAGACCCCCCCGAGAATGGTGCCACCTGTCAGTGCCAGGCGTGTGAGCCTCAGCCAGGCTCCCGTCCAGATCCTGGCTCCTCCAGGGATGGCTGCCCCCCGCTGTTTCAGGAGCGGTAAGGCACAGTGCTCACCCCTCCACTTGCTCCGCTCTGGGGCCCCAAAGTCCCATTTCTGCTTATGGCTTCGGAGAGGGGCTGGGTGGTGCCTGGTGGGCCAGAGGTTCTCTCCTTCAGGCTGCCCCTCCCTCAGGTCAGTCATAGTGGAGAACTCCTCGGGCCAGAAATACTACACCAGCACTTCTGAGCTCCTCAAACCCGTGAAGAAGAGGAAGTACAGGGAGTACCACAGCCCATCAGAGGAGTCGGAGCCAGACGCCGCGGTAGGAAGAGGACCGTGGGAGGGAAGGGGGAGGCCAGAGGCTATCCCTCAATCCCACTATCCTCTCCATCAATCAGGTCATGGGACTGGGCCAGAGAAGACACTGAATGACTCACTCACTCATCACAGTTTAGGGTCTCATCCTGAGCCAGGTCCTGTGCCTGGCTGGAGGGGAATGAATAAGTCACTCTGCTGCTTTTCTGGGGCTCCCATCTCCGTCTAGTGTCAGGGCTAACACACTCTCCCGTGAACCGGCACCCAGGAGAGCTGAGTGGGCAGATGGAGAGCTCCGTCCCGGGAGCCCAGTCACTAGGCCAGAGGCCAGGGAGCACGGGGCTCTAGTTGCAGAGAAGCTGGAGGAGACAGCACGAGAGTCCCAGTGGGCAGTCAGACCAGCACAGACAGGTGTTCATGTCTGTCCCCCTCCCTGGGAATGAGGTGAATTATAGTCCGGCTGTGTAGCTGGTGGTGGTGGTGGTGAGGGAGGTGTTCGTGTGGTTCTGTGTCCAAGTGGTAAGAAGTTGTCTGCTGGAGCTGTAGTCCTTCTGGGGGCCTAGGAGAAATTCCACCTGTTTGGGGCAAAACACCATGTGGCCAGAGAGCCAGGCAGGGGCCGGGAATAGCGACTGGGGCTTCTCTCAAATGCATGAGGACAGGAAGCTGGGCTCAGGCTTGCCTTCCACAGGAGAAGCGAGAAGAAAGGAAGGACCCAGAGGGACAGCCCACAGCTAGCGTCCCAGAAAGTGAGGAGTGGAACGGGAGCCAGCCTGGTATGCGGCCTACGGATATGTATTCAAGTATTGCGTGCACGCACATTTGGAGGCGTGAGGCTGGGAGAGTAGGTGGCAGTTGTGATGGTGTGTTGTACATATGTAGATAAGCATCAGTTAGTGTGTGTGAGAGAGTATGAGAAAAAAGCAATGTTGATGGTTTGTGTATTAGTACACGTGTGTTCTTGGTTGGGGTTATCTCATCTGTTTGTTTAGCCTCTGTCCTGTGTAAGTAGGCCTCGCTGCCAGGCTCAGGATCCAAAGACTTGAGTATCACATGGCATTGCTCCCTTTGGTCTGAGCAAGTCTGAACCCGTCATTGGTCTGACCTTGCTGTTTGGGCCCCCATTCTGACCCTTTGGTTCTAAGAAAAATGGAACAAAGTCCGTTCGTAGCCAGCTCTGGCCCTCAGACCTCCATCACCATCCCCACTCTCCCATGTCAGCCTGTGTCTCCTGTCCACAGCGTCAGGGGAGAAGAAGGAAGGCTGGTCCTGGGAGTCTTACCTTGAGGAGCAGAAGGCCATCACCGCCCCGGTCAGCCTCTTCCAGGACGTGAGTGGGACAGCTTCCGCCTAGGAAATGCTTGCATCCCAGTCGAGGACTCACCACCCAGCTCAGGCCTTCTGGTGTTTTGTGTATCTGACATCTCTTAAAGGGATGGAATGGAAAGGGGAGAGCCTGGTTGGGGACCAGAGTAGAAAAGAGCCCACAATAAGGGATGTCCAGGGTGGGAAGAAATAAGGAGGTGGAACCAGGCTCCCCCATCACTGGGCCTGCAGATTTTTAAATTCTGGTGCCTTCTACTCAATTCTGTATATGGAACTTTAAATGACTTGGATGAGAGAGAACCCTTAAGTCCAGCCCTGACTCAACGCACATTTTTCAAGGGACCTGTCCCCCTCTGAATCCCTGCACTAAAGACCCCCAAATAAGTTATTCCTTTGGTAGTACCGGTGGGTGGGGTCTAAAGGCAGCTCCTTCACCCCAAGCCCACTAGGCCAGGATAAGGCTGGATGGAAGCTGGGTCCTCTCCAATCTGTGCGTTGACAGTACCAGGCGGTCACTCATAACAAGAACGGCTTCAGACTGGGCATGAAGTTGGAAGGCATCGACCCTCAGCACCCATCCATGTACTTCATCCTCACCGTGGCCGAGGTGAGCCAAGGCTCGCACCACCGTTCTGATGGTGTCTCTCAGGATAGACTGATGGAGCCTGCCAGGGGCATCCGGGGCTCGGGCTCAGATGAGGGAGACGCTCTCCTGCCCTCAGAAAACACATAGTCTAGTGGGGGATTGAGGTGGTTGCATCGAAAGATGAAAAATGAACAGAAACCAGAGGAAGTGTGAGGCTGGGGATGGTGCTACGTGGGTGTGCACTTCAGTGCTGGGCGAACTGGAGGAGATCCCGAGAGCAGGGGCGTTGGCATGAGTCCAACAAGGTGCCTGTCATCTTGGAGCTCACAGTTGTGTGGGAATCAGCCAGGGAAACATATTAGTGACACCCCACAGTCGTGGGACCGACGTGAGCAGAGAGGCCGTGAGGGGGCAGGAGAAGCTTCACCGAGGCAGGGGCTCCTCTGCTGAGCCTTGAGAGACGAGTTGCGAATGGCTAGGGTGTCCCAGGCAAAAGGAGCAAAGTGAGCAAGGGCTCTGGGGTGTGAAACAGGCCGCTTTCACGGAGCTGCCGTTAGCTCAGTGGGGCCAGAGCAGAGTGTGCGACTAGGGAGCAGTGAGAGAAGAAGCAGAAAGAAAGGTCAGGGGGGCCTTGAGCACGCCTGAGCCCTGGTAGGTGCCCATGGGGTTCTGCCTAGGTCTTAAAGGGCAGGAGGATGCCACCGGATGTGCCTGTCTTGTACCCAGAACTCAGAGCTCACAAGTACATGAACTTTCCTCATCGCAGGAGAGTATGGCACAAGGTTCAGGATAGGCGGAAACCTGCGAGTGAAGGGAGGTGGGGAGCCTGTTAGCATTAGAGCCCCAAGATGATCAGGCCGGGCAGGAGAGGTGAAGGCAAAGGAGTGGGTGTCTGCTGGCATTAGAGTCTCTGTGATTTCCCCCTCATGGGGCCAGGTGTGTGGCTATCGTCTCCGACTGCATTTTGATGGGTATTCTGAGTGCCACGACTTCTGGATCAATGCCAACTCCCCTGACATCCACCCTGCTGGCTGGTTTGAGAAGACTGGGCACAAGCTACAGCCCCCCAAAGGTAAGACCTCGCTAGGCTGGTCACAGTGAGGCAGGGGCCCTCAGGCCCATCCCTTCTTCCCCTGGGCTCCCTTCCCTTCCCCACCGCACAGCCAGCCTCTCTCCACCACCTCCTGCTGTGACGTTGCCCCAGGGTTCTGCTGTGCCCTTGCCCTTTGAGTGTCCACCCGAAGGTGTCCTGCTTCGGCCGTGGGTCCCTGGGCAGGTCCTTGAGGGCGGTGGGGTCCTCAGGCCGGCCCGATTCTGCTGCTTCAGGGTGGGGTGCCCTGGCCGCGGCCCAGCCTCTGTCTGCACGGCGCTCTGTTCGGCCCCGTGCGGGGCCTAGGTTACAAGGAGGAGGAGTTCAGCTGGAGTCAGTACCTGCGCAGCACAAGGGCTCAGGCTGCCCCCAAGCACCTGTTCGTGAGCCAAAGCCACGTGAGTGCCCCTGAGCCAGAGTAGACACCTGCCCCGGGGACAGCGTCACGGCAGCTGGCCCAGGGTACCTGACTGCCCCGAGGAGAGCTCCTCTTCCAGTGCTCTCAGCTCTGTTCTGGTCTCTCCTACCAAACGGGAGGGGCCCGCTGGGCAGGCCAAGGCCAGAGGGAGAAGCTGGGCATAGGTTCTCCCCTGTTCCCTCCACAGAAAGCCTCTTCTTCGTCCCCTCGGAGGCCCTGGCTCACTGTCTCTGCCTGGGCTCTGAGGTGTCACTGTGCTTGTCTCTTTTTTTATTTATTTCTCTCTCTCTCTATTTCAAAAATATTTTTATTGATTTCAGAGAGGAAGGGAAAGGGAGAGAAAGATAGAAACATGAATGATGAGAGAGAATCATTGATCAGCTGCCTCCTACACATTCCCCCACTGAGGATCAAGCCCACAACCCAGGCATGCGCCCTGACAGGGAATCGAACCGTGACCTCCTGGTTCATGGGTTGATGCTCAACCACTGAGCCACACAGGCCAGGCACCGTGCTTGTTTCTTGCTTTGGTTTGCTCTGTCGTTTTTGGTGTGAGGTCCGAGCCTCTGTCCTGGGAGCTGCCTTTCCCAGCCTTTTGCCCGACATCAAGGCTCTCCTATTTAGTCTCAACAACTCACCCTTGTCTTTTTCTCTGTTCAAGGCAGCTGGCAGCTTTACACAGCAGTTCACGTATCTCTTAATCCCAAGCAAATGGTCTGAAAGATATAGGGGACCCCCATTAAAAATATCACTATATCAAAAGTTCAGGGTTCCCCAACATTTAAGGGAATGTGAGCACAATGCAAAGTGTCTTTAAAAGCATGTTGTGATGTACATATTTTGTACATCATGTTTTGTTGTTGATGTGGCAACCATTTGTAAAACATTCCAAATAATTCCACAGTTCTCAAGCAAAAAAAAAAAAAAAAAGTCCAGGGTTCCCCTGGGCCCGGGACCCTGCCATGCCATTCGGGCAGTTACCCACCACCTCCAGCCCAGCCCAGAGACCATCCTGCAGGTGCCCAAGTGACTGGTGGGGTTCTGCCCGCTCTTGTGAGAGGGGATGAGACTCGTAAGTCAAACTTTTTCCATCCTGGCCCCACTGTTGATTAGCATTGTGGTCCTGGGCAGGTTGTCTGACTTTTCAAACGGGGATGATGACAGCTGTCTCGTTGGGTAGGGCAGGCTGTTCTCCACCTGGTACACTTGGGTGAATGTGCACCTTCCTGCCAGTCACTCATCTTCTGCCATTATGAGGTGTCCTCTGAATGCTCCTTGGGGTTATTCAGAGTGGCTCTGGGCTGGGGATTATGATTCTGCCTGTCTATCCCACCCCCTAACCCCAGCATGACTCTTAGGGAACCCACTCCTTCCCTTGCCAGTGGCCTGCCTGGCTGGCCGTGGCAGCCCCTCTTCTTGCCCCCAGAGTCCCCCACCCCTGGGCTTCCAGGTGGGCATGAAGCTGGAGGCTGTGGACCGTATGAACCCGTCCCTCGTCTGTGTGGCCAGCGTGACCGACGTGGTGGACAGTCGCTTCCTGGTGCACTTTGACAACTGGGACGATACTTACGACTACTGGTAGGGGGAGGGCCCAGACTTGGCCGGGGTGGTGGGGGGATGGCAGGGGAGGGAGGCAAGACTTTGAAAACTTAGACACCATGTAGCCCCTGCCCAGCCCTAGCATTCATATTTGTTCAGGGGGATTATTGGTTGTCCTGTGGGTTTGATCTATGTATATCGTAAGAAACACATGCAATATATATATTTTTAATCCTCATTCAAGGATATGGTCTTTTTTTGTTGTTAAGACTTTAGAAAATATTAAGTGCATGTTTCATAAAGCTGCTCTCTTCTAAGAATGCTAGAATGCCTCTTAGATATGTTTTTTATTGATTTTTTAGAGAGAGAGGAAGGGAGAGGGAGAGAGGGAGAAACAATGATCAGTTACCTCCTGTATGTGCCCTGACTGGGAACTGAACCCATGACCCTTCAGTGCATGGGATGATGCTATAATCACTTAGCCACACTGGCCATAGCCACAATACAATATGAGAGGTATCATCTAGAAATACCAAGGTTAAGATGAGCAGACCGCTGTGATTCATGGTTTGCTCTTAGATAAGATGGTGGTGGTAGAGCTTTCAGTTAATGCTACAGTTTTCTGACTTTCTCACCAGCCATCTGTCTAACTCTCACTAAGTAGGGTGCACCCTGACGCCATGCTGTTGTAGGCAGCAGGCTCAGGGCCTCCAAGTTTCACTTGGGACAGTGAGGTATATTCTTGGCTTTCAGGTGTGATCCCAGCAGCCCCTACATCCACCCGGTTGGCTGGTGCCAGAAGCAAGGAAAGCCCCTCACACCTCCACAAGGTGACCGTGCAGCCTGAGCACACCCTTGCCTGGGCCTGGCCCTACACCCCTCTCTCCAGGTCCTACACCAGTACCCCCAGGAGCCTCAGCCTCTATGCCTGGGAGTAGAGAACCCTTTAATTTTAGGAGAGTTCTGTCCAACGCCGACTGTGTGAAGGTTTAAGGCAGTGGATCTCAACCTTCCTAATACCGCGACCCTTTAACCCTTTTCGGTCTAACGTGGAGGCTGACTCGACAGACCAGGCGCTAGGAGCAGGTCCAACGTCGAGGCGGAGACACCCCAAACCGGTTCAACATTCAATCCCGTCAACTAATTTGGACCAGACTGTTTGAATTCCAAAACTAAAATTGGACCGCAAAGGGTTAATACAGTTCCTCATGTTGTGGTGACCCCCAATTTCATTGTTACAAATTGAACATAATTAAAGCATAGTGATTAATCACAAAAACAATATGTAATTATATATGTGTTTTCCGATGGTCTTAGGCGACCCCTGTGAAAGGGTCATTCGACCCCCGAAGGGGTTGCGACCCACAGGTTGAGAACCGCTGGTTTAAGGGAAGAAAGTTAAGGGACACTCCCTCCCCAACAACAAGGGTGCAGGATTCCAGAGTGAAGGAAGTGTTCCCTTTCAGAGTATCGCTTGGGCCCACATACAACAGAGGTTCAGAGCGGGCTGGGCTGGGGCTAGAGCCACAGGGCAGTGGAGAGGAATGGGAGCCAGGGTTCCCAGACAGCCCTGGAAACGGGGAGGAGGTGACGTGCTTGCTAGCACCCCTCTGCCTCCCGAGCCCCCGCAAGGAGCTGGCCGTGGTGATGCGGGGGTAGATTGTCCTCCATGAGCCTCTGTCTCTTTCGTGCTCCTGGTTCTCCTTGGGGGCAGGGAGCTCTCCCAGTACGCCTGGGTGCCTAGACATTGCTGTCCTCCTCTCTCCAGACTACCCAGACCCTGACAGCTTCTGTTGGGAGAAATATCTGGAGGAAACTGGGACCTCTGCTGTGCCCACCTGGGCCTTCAAGGTGGTGAGTTGGCTCTCCTGCCCCCAGAGCAGAGCTCAGGAAGTCGTGGAGCCCTTGGGTAGCTAGGATGTGCCCCTGCATGCCCCCCCCCCCCTCACTTTTGCAGGCCCCAATTTTCCAGGCACAGCACTTGGACTCCCTTCTTGGGGGTCTCAGCACTGCTATTCTGGGCCTCGGCCTGAAGGCTGCTGTCCCCCTGCAGCGACCCCCGCACGGCTTTCTTGTTAACATGAAGCTGGAGGCTGTGGACCGCAGGAACCCATCCCTGATCCGTGTGGCCAGTGTGGAGGATGTGGAGGACCATCGGATAAAGGTGGCTCTGGGACCCTTGGGCTGGGGAAGTGAACAGGCCGATTGGGCAGGAATTCTGTAGATTCATTCAAGGTCAAGGGCATGGCAGGAGCCAGACATAAGGGAGGCTGCACGTTGTGGAGAAGAGAGCTCTAAATTTGAGGCTGAAGATCTTGGGTCTCATTCTAGCCTCATCTGTGACTTACTTTTGTGTGTTTGAGCAGGTCATTTCCCCCTCTGAGCCTTAGCACTCTCATCTATAAAATGGCCTGATAATCCTAGATCTATGTGAGGATTGATGGGAGATGTCCATAATTTAATGATGAAGCCCTTGGGGTACATGATGGCCAAGAGGGATTATTGTGGGGTTGGCCCCTTGGTTCTTCCAATCCAGGATCTTGCTTCTGACAGGCTCCGGGGATGGGGAGAGCCTCCTGGAGCCTGCAGGACCTCCTGGCTGAGCGGGGCTCCGTGAGGAATGCCTGACTTCCAAGGGCCTTTCCCCCCCAGCTCCACTTTGATGGCTGGAGTCATGCCTTTGACTTCTGGATTGATGCCGACCACCCGGACATCCACCCCGCCGGCTGGTGCTCCAAGACAGGGCATCCCCTGCAGCCTCCTCTCCGTGTGTACCCCTAGGGCACTCTGATCCTTTCCTACTGATGTCCAACCCCACCCCTAGCTCCTCCACCCCTCCACCCCCCGCTTTGATAGCATGCCCAGGTCTGACACACAGGACTCTGGAGGCCTCAGTGAGCTCTGAGACCTCGCACCCTCCCTCCCTTCCTCTGGCTTCCCCAGTTGTTGGGTTGGGGTATTGAGATGTGAAGGGGAAACTCACTTGGAGATGTGCTTAGGGGCCACACAGAGCGTGCATGGCGTTTGCTAAGGAAATGCTGGCTCTGTTAAATAAAATCTGGGCCCTTACAGGCAGGGGTTAGAGGTCAGATCATTGGACTGCTCAGTTCTCACCCTCAGGATCCCCCCACCCCCCCCCCAGCCCTGTTTCCCTGCTGTTGCCACATCTGTCTCTCGTGGGGTGTTGATCCTTCTCGATTGCTCTCCAAGCATGGGCAGAGCCTAAAATAAATTACCAAAGTCTAGGGGATGAAACAGGGAAACAGAATAATGTCAATCTGCCTGACATGGCTCTTAAGGTACAGCTGGGCCACACCAGCTCTGCGTTGGATATTCCCCCCGTGGAGACAGAGGGCATGGCCTGCAGGTTTCACCAAAGTATGTGAGAGCCAAACCCCTCATTCCCTACAGAGAGGTAAATATCCAGTAGCAGGAAGTGGTGTCACAGCCTAGCTCGGGGCCCTTCTACCTGGGGAACTAATTCCCAGGGCTGACTTCCCTGCTCTCCACTCATCCCACCCCCACCCCTACCCCAGGACCTTATGCTGACTCTTGTTCCTGTCCCTCCAGATCCCAGAGAGCTCGGCTCTGCCTCCCCTGAGGGCTGTTCCCCCCTCAGCTACCGGGGCCTGCCGCACACGAGGACCTCCAAGTACAGCTTCCACCAGCGGTGAGGGCAGGGCTCCTGCTGAGAGACCCTCAGACACTGCTCAGAGAGGGTCCGTGTGTGGCCAATCAGAGCTCACTAAAGACCCTCTCTGAATGGGGCCAGGCTTGGAAAGGGCTCAGGGGAACAAGCGGGTCAGCCCAACTTATGCCTTCTTCTTCCTCAGGAAGTGCCCCACGCCTGGTTGTGACGGGTCCGGCCACATCACAGGCAAGTTCACAGCTCACCATTGCCTCTCGGGGTGCCCCCTGGCTGAGAGAAACCAGAACCGGCTGAAAGTGGAGCTGTCCGACTCAGAGGCCTCGGCCCGTAAGAGGAACCTCTCGGGCTTCTCCCTAAGGAAGAAGCCTCGCCATCATGGCCGGTGCGGAGGGCAAGGGTGCAGGGCCTCTTGTCCTCTTGGGCAAGGCCGGGCACTGATTCCCTGCCATGGACCTGGTCCCTCTCTCTCCAGGACTGGGCGCCCTCCAAAGTATCAGAAGATTACACAAGAAGAGTTCGCGAGTAAGTCCAGGGTCATTTACCCCCACGTCCTCCACAAAGTGTGTACAATTGGTGGGATGTTTACAGAGAAGGAGAGCTGGTCCGGGCGGCGTGGCTCAGTGCTTGAGCATCGACCCATGAACCAGGAGATCATGGTTTGATTCCAGGTCAGGGCACATGCCTAGGTTGCAGGCTTGATCCTGACTAGGGGGCGTGCAGGAGGCAGCCAATCAATGATTCTCTCTCATCATTGATGTTTCTCTCTCTCTCCTTCTCCCTCTCCCTCTCTCTGAAATCAATAAAAACATATTTAAAAAATAGAAGATACTAAATAATCCTTTATAAAAAAGAGAGAGAGATGGAGAAGCTGGAAAGGTGGTTGTATCTCTTCGTTTGGGGAGCACAGAGCAGTGGCAAGAGTACAGGATGGGGCTCGAATGACCACGGGTTCCAGGCCTATTTCACCCATGGCCTTGCTGGGAATCTGTGGGAAAGGCACAGAACTCTCTGGGCCTCTGGTTCTCCACTGGGAGGTCAGATGATGCCCTAGCTCTGTTCCTCATTCTAGGCTCCCTGGGAGGGAAGCCATGGCTTGTCGCTGTCTAGCTGTGTGACCTTGAGCAAGTGACTGAACATCTCTGAGCCTCAGTTTCCTCATTTGAAAACATGAATATAACTGCCCTGGCAGGGTATCTCAGTTAGTTAGAGCATCGTCCTGATACGCCAAGGTTTTGGGTTCGATCCTCAGTCAGGCCACATACAAGAAGCAACCAATGAATGCATGGTAGGAACAACAAATCCATCTCTCTCTCTAAAAATAAATAAACGATTAAAAGAAAACATGAATTACTGCCTTTCGCATGTCAGCTACCTGCAATAATAGTGGTTACTATTACTGTGGATAGGACTCTCTTCTTCTGAGAGAAGAGAATGAGAGGCTCAGAGAGAGAAGTCATTTGCCTGAGGTCATTTGCCTTGTCAGGAGCAGAGCTGGGATTCAGACTCGGGTCTGAGTTCTGCTACGTGCTGCTGATGTAATAGACATAAAGCACCTAACCTAATGTCAGTTCCCTTCCCACCCCCCTTTGTTTTAGCTTGGCTGTCATAACCAAGTACCACAGAGTGGGTGGCTTAAACAACAAAAATTTATGTTCTCACACCTCTGGATGCTAAACGTCCAGGGTCAAAGAGTGGAGGGGTTTGGTTTCTTCGGAGGCCTCTCCTTGGCTTGAAGATGTCTGCCTTCTCTGTGTCCTCACATGGTCTTTCCTCTATGCCTGTACCCCCCTCCCCCACCCCCCACATCTTTCTGTGTGTCCAAAATTCTTTTTCTTACAAGAGCACTACTTGGATTGGATTAGAGTCCACCCTGCCTAACCACCTCTTTAAAGGCCCTTTCTCCAACTACAGCCACACTCTGAGGTACTGGGGGCTAGAGTTTTAGCATTTGAATTCGGGGAGACGCAGTTCAGCCCATAGCATGCTCCAAGGGGAGGCACAAGGGGACTGCACCCTCCCGTTGTGTGATGAAGTCATCTCACATCTCTGACCAGTAGCAGGGACACTGGGGATCTTGCCTCATTTGAGTTGCACATGGTTTTAAGTCAGGAGGAGACCATGAACAATCACCTGGTTCATTACACAATGTCTGGGCAGGACCCAACCTATTCGAGTGCTTCAGGAACAGTCTGTGAACCGGGGCACTCTGAACCTCAGTGGCCTCACCTGTAAAATGCTGATGATAATAGTGCCAATCTCAAAAGGTGGTGGGAGACTTAACCGAGATGGTCACATAACCTACTGGAATTCTCGCGTGTTCTGATCTCTTGCCTGATTCTCTCCTGGTGCTGTTCCCTACTGTTTCCTCTCGGCGGAGACAGAAGGCGATTTCTGCAGCCTCAGGCCTGAGTGAGGAGGGTCTCAGAGTGAGGACTTTTGGGGGTGGGACTGCAGAGCGTACCTCTTCCACCTTCAGTGGGAATCCTGGTCGGCTTCCATTGCAGGGCCACATTCTGACCACCAGAGGGCGAGTGCCTGTGTTCATTCCAGAAGTGTCCTGAGGACTAGGGAAGTTCAGTCTTCCCAAAGCCTGAGGCTATAGCCCTCCAGGGACAGGACGGAACAGAGGACAGGGCGCAGGCCTCGGACCTCTGTGCAGGGCTCCCTTGTCCTACCAGCTGGCTCTCTCACAGAGGGGACACAGTCACTCTGGATTTTGTTCCGGAGACTTCTCACACATCCATGGGGAGACCTCTTCAGTGTGGGCTCCAGGGTTCGCTGGCAAACAGCTCCGAGGTGGAGGCTGCCTGCCAAGGACAGGACTCAGCTGTGCTCTCCCTGCTGGTAGGACCTGCCCAGCCCCCTGAGGGTCAGTGCTTGAGAGAACAAGAGGAAACCGCAGAGGTTTCCTTGCCCAACCTGTTCATTTACAGCCTGGGAAACAGGCCCCTGTTATGTGACTTGCCCAGGGTTCAAGAGCAAGTTAATGAGGGCCCAAAAGGACTTAGGGAAAGGAGGACAGACACAACGGGCTTCTTGCAGAGTGTCCACCCCTTGGATGCAAGGTATCTCGAGAAGGGGACCAGGATGCTGCAGCAGCTCTGAGAAAGCCTCCTTGCAGGGCCCAGCCTCAGAGGGATGGGGGTTGGGGAGGAGGTCGTTCCAAGCAGCTGACCCGAGAGTCTGTGAAGCAAGGAAGCCACTTTACCGGAAGGAGCGAGCCCAGATGAGGCAGATCTGGACCACCCTCTTGGCCCTGCAAGGCTATCAGAAGGGGCCGTGGTCCTCTTGAGTGGCATGGGTACAGGCCGGCTCCTGGGGCCAGGTTCATCCCCAGCATCGGCCTGCCAGCCTCTGCCTCTGCTTTCCAGCACTAACGACCGATGTCATCCACCAGTCCTTCTTCATGTCATCCCTGTCGGCCCACCCTGACCGGTCCCTCTCAGTGTGCTGGGAGCAGCACTGCAAGCTCCTGCCGGGAGTGGCGGGCATCTCGGCCTCAACAGTGGCCAAGTGGACCATCGATGAGGTGAGGAGCTCAGCCCCTTCTTCCCCTCCCCTGCTCTGCCCTCTCACCAGGACACCCTTGTTCAGGAGGCCACCCAGCAGAGCTGGAAGCTGCCCCTGACACTGTCTCCTGCCCATCCCTCAAGTCCACAGACCCTCCTAGCTGCCCGGTGGGGACTGATGGAGAGACTGTTTCATGGCCCGTCCTGGTGGATGGGGAGAGGGGCCGGCTACTAGCCCAGCTGGAAATCTAGCGGGAGGGGCAGGCTGAGCCTCACATACCCAGTAGCACAGAGATGCAAGGATCCTCTTAGGTTGATAAGAAAAAGCAACACAGTCACAGCCCAGAAATTGCCAAGGCCATATAAGCCACCTCCCCCCTGTCTCCCAAGCCCCTGTTTCCTTGGCAACAGGCAGCATGTCTTCTTTGATTTCCAAGGTCTTCGGCTTCGTTCAGACCCTGACAGGTTGTGAGGACCAAGCACGACTCTTCAAAGATGAGGTAAGTGAGGTGCAAGTGCAGAGTGGGCACAGAGAAATCACCCACTGAGAGGCAGGGGGCAGGTGTCCCCACCAGTGCTGCCCCAGATAGGGAAGGTCCTGTTGTCACACCTGCGGAGGAGTAGTCATAGCCACACCTCTGGGAAACATCTGGTACGGACCCTGGCCCAGCTTGGGAACCCTCTGTATCCAGACCATCCCAGGAAGGAAGAAGCATCCTGGAGACGAGGTTCCATCCACCCCTCTGCCCTCTGCACCCCCCCCCCCTTCTTTTGTTCTCCAAACTTACCTTCAGCCGGTTAATTCAAGTGCATTTTAATACCTGATGGCACAGGTATTGCCATTTACTGCAAGGACCTTACCATACACTTAAAAGCAAGACCCCAAAGCTCCCCAAAGGTAAGAAGCAGCGAGTTGTAGATAAAAGAATGCTAGCTTTGCAGACAGTTGGGTTTGAATCCCAGTTCTGCCAATTTGAGCTTTTTACTGTCCCTGAGCCTGCATCTTCTTATGTGTAAAATGGAGATAAAATAGATATAATGATGTCTACCTTTTCAGGCCACTGTGAGCATTGGCAATGACGAATGGATTGTTGTATCAGAATGTCTAGGATAGTTATACCCTAGTATATATACTATTATATTATTGTAGGAGTCCTATATATTAATATTATATATAATATTAGAGAGTAGTATATAAATCATATCACTGTACAAGAATAATTGATACAGTGGGGCTTCAATCAATGGTTGTTCTAACTTTGAATGTGCAGTCGTCCTTAAATGAAGAACTTTATCACGTCTCTCTAATTTGTAGAGTTTGAAACTGGAAGGGGCCTTTGAGTCTATTTAGATCTTCCTTCCAAAGAATTCACACATCCCCTTCACCCAGGAAGTGTGGTCTCTGCCCCCCTAGGTGCCTCCTCCAGGCGATGCCCATGAGAAAGAAGTCTCCCCCTTTCCCGGGAGAATCTCTATCCAGCCGACCAGCCAGTTTCTTCCTCAGGTCCTAGTTTGGGGGGCTCCCTCGCTCCTCCCCATTCTGAATCCTTTCCTTCTGGATTGTGATCTTCTTATCGTAATGGGTGTGTCCAGGGCTGCACCTGTGTTTCAGACGCGCTCTGAACAGCACAACACCTGGGCTGCTCCTCCAGATGGCTTTGGTTTCTGTTTTAAAAAAGACTTTCTTACTTTAGAACAGTTTCAGGTTCACAACAAAACTGAGAGGACAGTACAGAGATGACCCATATGCCCCCTGCCCACATGCACAGCCTCCCGCTTCATGGACATCACTCAGCAGAGCGGGGCCTTTGTCAGTCGATGAGCTGACATCTAGATGTGTGTACATGGAGATCAGATATACACGGAGAGAAAGGCACCCATCGTAACAGTGCACCCCCACAGCTTTGTGGAATGTGTACACGCTGAACCCAATACTTCAGTCAAGATATGAAGCGTTCCCGTCACACCAGAGAGTTCTTTCTCGGTTCCTTTCATCAGTCCCCAACCTCATGGCAGCCACTGTTCTCACATCCAGCACCACGGGTTAGCTTTGCCTGCCCTTGAACGCCATGTACATGGAATCATACAGCACGCACTCTTCTTTGTCTGTCTCTTTTCACTCAGTGTGATGCTTTCGAGGTTCATTCATGTTCTTGTGTAGACCCTCAGTGTGTTCATTCTTATTGCCACGCAGTGCTCCATTTTGTGACTATCCCACAGTTAATGGTCATTTTCTCTCCCCCTCGATTTGAACCCTGTATTTTTGTGAGTAAAACTTAAGATTGCACCAGCTTTATTATAGCCACATCACAGCAGTTTTGAGTTCATGAGAGTCCCCAAGTGCTTTTATATCAATTATCCATTATAATCAAACCAAAATTTCCAGTGTATTACTTGTACCACTGGCTTTTTAAAATTAATCTAATGAAAGACTTTATATTTCTCCCTGTTAAATGTTATCATGTTGGTTTCATGATCTCACTGTTTTAAATCTTAACTTTATCACCTCTGATATTAATAAGTCTTTCCAACCTCATACAACTTGTACATTTTTTAAATATATGTTTATTGGTTTTAGAGAGAGAGGGAGCAAGATAGAAACATCAATGAGAGAGAAACATCATCAATCGGCTGCCTCCTGTACGCCCCTGACTGGGGATTGAACCGGCGACCTCCCGGTGCATGGGGTGACACTCAATTAATGAGTCACCCTAACTGGGCTACAACTTGTTCATTTGATAACTAAGTCTTCTGTGTTAATTTAAGCCACGTCTTCACCACATGTGTTGATAAAACGGCAGAACCATGTGGTGCCCATTAGAGATCTTCCATTAGGTGACAACCGATCATAAACGAACACTCTCTGAGTACAGTTGTTCAGCCAGCTGCTGAGCCACCCGAGAATTTGATCCTCTAGCCCAGGGGTGGGCAAACTTTTTGACTTGAGGGCCACAATGGGTTCTTAAACTGGACCGGAGGGCCGGAACAAAAGCATGGATGGAGTGTTTGTGTGAACTAATATAAATTCAAAGTAAACATCATTACATAAAAGGGTACGGTCTTTTTTTTTTTTAGTTTTATTCATTTCAAACGGGCCGGATCCGGCCCGCGGGCTGTAGTTTGCCCACGGCTGCTCTAGCCCATGCTGGGCTTCGCAGTGTCCCCATGTTGGAAGAAGGGTTATCTCTCCTGGGAACATCTGCTGCGTGTCTTGGTTCAGCATGTTCTGTGATACAAAAGAGCAACGGCCAGAGCAAGGAGGTGTGCTGGTGGACCGACAGTACCAGTACAGTCTCAGTGTAGACCTTTGTGGGGGTTGAGGATTGCCTTCTCCAAGGTCTGGTTCACGGCATCAGTCTCCCCAGGGAGTGGGTTCTCTCTGGCCGAACGGATGCAGCCAGGACACTCAGGGACACTGGTCAAGATGAATGGTGAATTGCTGCTTCTGGTGGCATGTGGTTAGGACTCCGAGGAAGGTGTGTGCCAGGTGTAATGGGTGCTCAGAGGAGGGGGCAGGACAGAGAGGGGTCAACAGACTCTGCTGACCATGCAGCTGGTTAAACACAGGCAACTTCCTGCTCCCTGAGTGTCCCTTTTTCTTGGGTTCCCGTGGGCCATGCCTCTCTGTTGTGATAGCATAGAAGTCTCCTCATCAGCTGATTAGATTTTAGCTTGGCCTTTTAAACATCCACGTGTGGCTCTCTAAGGATCTTTCCAGGTTATGCCAACCTGGGGAAATTCCCTGGTCCTATCCACAGCTCTCGGGCTATTGCTTAGGGTGGATCATTGCATTTGGCTCATTTTATTCATTTTCCTGTTGAGTTTCTCTACCTTCAAGGTCAAATATGACCATTTCCGAGATTATGGCTGAAAACTCCATATACAGCAGCACACATACAACATCTTGTATGTTCTTGAGTAATCCCATTGTCCCCTGACACAGTCCCAAGCTACTAGTCAACAAACTCCAGTCTTTGCTTTGAAGAACCTAGACTCAACCTCAGCAGTCACAGTAGTAAGAAATCTCCAGGGGAGGCACAGGGACCATTAGAAAAGTCTTGCAGAAGGTGCCCTGGGTTGGTCTCATTGCTTCCTTACAGTGTCATTCAACTTGTTGCAACATCCCGTGTATTTCCTGTAAACTGGAAGTTACAAACAAAGGCTTGGTTAGATTCAGATGAAATCTCAAGCTCTCTCTCTCAGAGCTCATAGGTAATACTGTGATGCATTGATTGGAATGCCCGCATGTCTGTTAGCAGCACTGAGATTGACCGGTGGGTTCATGTGGGAACAGCAATAGCAGGTTTTTTGTTTGTTTGTTTCTTTGTTGTTCTTGTTGTTGTTGTTTTAATCTCTACCTGAGGATATTTTTCCATTGATTTTTAGAGAGAGGGGAAGAGAGAAGGCAAGACAGAGAGAAATATCGATGTGAGAGAAACACATGGATTGGTTGCCTCCTGCATGAGCCCAGGCCAGGGCCAGGGCTGGGGAGGAGCCTGCAACTGAGGCAGGTTTTTGAAGCCACTGTCAGTGAAGACTCAGAAAACATTATGCAAATACACACTGAAGTCCAGATCTGGCAGCAGAAAGAGTGTGTGTGTGCGCGTGTGTGTGTGAACATGGGAACACCAGTGGATATCTTTCTTTCCTTCTCTGTCCCCATTGCTATCTTCCTTTTTTCCTTTCTCCCTCCCTTGTCCTTTCTCCTTTTCCTTCTTCTTTCCCTTTCCCTCCTCCTTTCCTTCCCCCCATATATCCTTTACTCCAATTTTCCTTCTCCCCTTCCCCCTCGCCATGCATATGCCCACCTTCCTTCACTCCTTCCCCATGACCCTCTCCACCTTCTCCGATTTCCACTTCCCTCCCCCAACCCTCAGATGATTGATGGCGAGGCCTTCCTTTTGCTGACACAGGCGGACATTGTGAAGATCATGAGTGTCAAGCTGGGTCCAGCCTTGAAGATCTATAACGCCATTCTCATGTTCAAAAACGCCGATGACACCTTAAAGTGACTGGCTCAGGGCTGGGCCCTCCTCCAACCCCAGCCGGGCCTCCCTCTGCACCTGATGCTTCCTTCCTGGCCTGAGTTCCTCATATCCCACCTGTGCCCCCACTATGCTCTGCATCTGGCCAGGGGTGGTTGCTCTTCTCTCCAGGGCTGCTTCCTACAAGGTACATGGGAGCAGAGGAGCCCCGGGGAGGATGGAGTCTTAGCCCCCAAGTCCTGGAACTCATCTGCCACCAGGCATACCAGTGAGGGTGTGACATTGCTGGGGGAGCATTACTGATGGAGTGGGTTGGGGGTACCCTGCCTGTGGCAGCCCACTTCTCTAGCCAACTTGTTTTGTCACCACAGGGTCTTGTTGTTTGCAATTAAGGACAGTCTGGTGGAGCGAGAGGCCCTTTTTGGCATCTCTCTGTGCTTTTCTTTCCTTGTCTCCTTTCCTCCTACCAAGAAGTGACCCTGCCACAAACATATTTACTCAAAAGGCACCTCCCCCCTGTCTTTTGGTTTTGCCGCCCTCATTCTGCTGCTCAGTTTTCTGGTCAGTGCCCCCACCCTGGCACAGCCAGACCTCACTGGTTCCTCCCTTTAAGTGGGTGTGCCTCAGACACATGTTTTCATAGGATCCAATGGGAGTCTGGGCTGCCGTTTTCCATTTTACCCAGAAGTGAGGGATTCTGAGCCAAAATGCCTTCTTGAACGTGTCCAGCTCTGGACCACTTGGCATTCTTACTGTTCCACGCCTAGACCTGTTTCCAGCAGAGCAGGTAGTCAGAGCATTTCACCTCTGCAGCAGGGGTTAAGGTTCCATGGGTGTTCCCCATACACTCTCAGTGTGTCAGGTATGGGAGGAGGCAGCCTGAATGGCTAGTGGCCAAGGTCAGCCCAAGAGTACGTCAGACAATCTTTGGTCAGAGGGGCAGCTCCACCAGGTATTGTGGCTCCCAAAGCTGGAAGCCTTGGGTCTCAGCCAAGGTGTTGCCCATGGCAGGAGTCAGGGGACCACGCGTGCCAGGCCTCCTGTCATGGGCATGTAGCACTCTCTCTAGTACACACACACACCCCCTGTAACATCGCTTCAACCTGTCCCTCACATGCCCTGCTCTTGGGTTTTACAAAGAGGACTTGAAGTTGGGAGTTGGGAAAGTGAATTCTATCTTTGAGCTCTCTGAGTCCCTTAAGCCTTTCTTACCCCTCTCCATCAGTGTTGCAGTGGGGGGCCTGCTGGGACTCTGGGACTTTGGCCTTTCTGTCCAAGTGGGGGCCTAGCCTCCACTGAGCCACTGCCAAACCTGAAGCCTGGGAGCAGGCCCCACGGGGAGATGGGGAGCAGGGCTGAGCTGGGCTTCCCCAGACTGCTCTGCCAGCCATGGGAGGTGTGTGTGTGTGTGTGTGTGTGTGTGTGTGTGTGTGTGTGTGTGTGTGTGTAGGCACTCTCAGAAGTGTTGGACAGGGTGATGTGAGGCTCAGTGTTGGGAAAATGTCAAGGGCTATTCCTGTTACAATATGAAGCTTTATCTTTCCCATAGAAGAGAGAAGCCCAAAGTTCAGGTGATTTCCTGTTCCCTGCCCAGGAGGGGACCCTCTCACAAGGGACCAGACAGCTTTGCTCGGGCAGCCATTCAGCCCCCACAGGACTGACATGCTCCTTCCCTTCCAGCCCTAAGAGGCAGCCCTGACCACGACCTCCCAGGGGAGAAAGCAGGCAGGCCCGAGGGTTGGGTTTACAGAGGTCGCATTGGTGTCCCCATTGGTCAAGAGCCTCTCTATCTTGGTTGCTTGAGTGGTGGCAAAACTCACCAGTTCCTTGGCCTTCGCCTATGAGACTGTGAGATGCTCACTGGCTTTGTGGTGTGAGGAGAAGGCAGCAAGTACACACAGTTGAGTGGGGCTGGGATGGCTTTGCCATGTGGATTTACTAACCACGCTCTTAATACCTGCCTACCAGAAAGGCAGGATGGACCAAGGGCCTCGAGGAAAAGGGCCCCCAGGCCTCCGAACTTTGAGGCCTCAGCACTTTCTGCACCAATGTCCAACTCTTTGGAAAGAAACCAAATCACAAAAAAGGAGAAAGAAATCTGCCTCCTGTCCACCCTACTACCTCCCTTTCCCACCCATCCTGACCCCAAATGAGATCATCGCACCTTGACCTGGGAGGGCAGTAAGGGGAGGGAGTTGGCACCGGTGCCCAGTGCCATGTGACCTCTGCCCGGCTCTCCAGCAGAGGCACCACTTACACTTTGGCCCGGCAGCCTCGCCCAGCTCTGGCCTAGGCCAGGGAGGACCTTTCTGTTTGGCTTCTGAAACAGAAAGAATGATCCCAGAATTTGAAAATGAAACTTGTTTGCACTTTCATTCACATGCACTTTGGTGGAGTTAGGTTTTTGTATTTGCTGTGTGTGTGTGTGTGTGCGCACGCGTGTTCGTGTGCATGTGTGCACACATGTGTGTGTCCTTTAAGAGAAACTTCTGGCTTAAGATAAAGTGACTCTTGACTCATGAGGGAGGAAAAAGTTATAAAAAAAATGTGGTGTGCTCCATCCATTTATTGAAACAAATAAACTTGAACAACTGAAGGATATGCACTCAGAATTTGTTCTATTTTCATGGCGAAATACCCAGAAAACAGAAAGAGAATATCAATAATACTCTGTAATTACTGCAGAGAATAAAGCATTGTCTCTGCTGGTAGGGGTCCTAACTAATCTGATTTTTATTCCCTTTTAAAGATAAGAAACAAAGAATAAAGATAAATGGGTATACTGTCTACATGGAGAAATATAAACAATGGGATCCTCGGAGAACAATGTGAAAAGGCCTGATCCCTGACAACTTGTGAATGGTAAGGGCAGAAAATTCAATAAAGACTTCAGTTTAAGAAAACAACATGAAACGTTCAGGTGGGGAAATATCAAACTGAACAGTTAGAATTTGTTAAGGTTCCCAGAGAATGTGTGAGCAGATAAGAAAGTAGCAGAAATGCCACGTTCAATCACATCACCCCCTTTCTTGTCAATATCCTTAATTCCTTTGACCTGCTGCTCTTCCATACCACTTGGCTAGAAGAATGTCAGCCATGGAGCTGTCTTCTGTACACCTTGACCAGGAACTTAGCTGACTGAGCAGATTGGTTGCCATGCTTGACTGATAGTCCCTGGCTCTGGTGTGAACCCTCAGGGCTGCCCAGGAAGCAGCTGGGTTTCTGAGGTCATTAGCTTTGACTTCTCTTTTACCTCCTACCCCATTGCCTTCCCTGTTATCTCAAGAGATGTCTTCCCCATCTGTGTCACAGAGAAAACAGAAGTCATCAGAAGGAATACCCCACCTTTCTGCCACCTCATGTGCCAGTCTCCTTCCACCTACATCCATCCTTCCTTTCTTAACTATCACAGTAGAAGAGTTTATTTTTCCACTTGTCAAAAACTAAATCCTCACCTAGCCAGCATGGTTCAGTGGTTGAACATCGACCTATGAACCAGGGGGTCACAGGTTCAATTCCTGATCAGGACACATGCCAGGTTGTGGGCTCCATCCCCAGTGGAGGGCGTGCAGGAGGCAGCTGATCAATGATTATCTCTCATCATTAATGTTTCTTTCTCTCCCTCTCCTTTCAATCAATATATATATATAAATAAACTATATATTAAAAAGCTAAATTCGCAAGCAGCCATGGCTGCTATAAAAGGAAAAGAAACATTAAAAGACAAGAAAGGACTTTGGGAAATTTAAAATGTTCTTGCAGAGATAAAATAATTGAACACAAGGTGAAAGATAAAGTTGAGAAGATTGCCCAGAATATAGGATGTTCCCCCACAATGTATATACACACTTTGAATAATTATAAAGGCAGTGTTTATTAAAATACATTTTATTTTCAAAATTGAGCTATCAGTTATTAAAGTGTGTATACACTTTTTGGGACACCTTGTATATAGCCAGGTTACAAACTTTTACCTCTTCTGCACCTTTCCTCAGAAAGACATTGGAGGATGTGCTCCATCAAAATGAGAGATTAAGTAAAAAAAGAAGAATATCCCAGGAATACAAGGATAGTTCAACATATGAAAATCAATCTACTTTATGCACCACATTATTATAATGAAAGGGGAAAACACATGATCTTATCAATTGATGCAGAAAAGTCATTTGACAAAATCAACATCATTTCACAATAAAAACAGTCAGAAAACTAAGAACAGCTTATAAAAAAATAAACACAAAAACCCCATAGTTGACATTATATTCAATGGTAAAATACTGAAAGCTTTCTACCCAAGATCAGGAACATGACAAGGAAGCCCACCTTCAACTCTGCTATTCAGTATTGGACTGGAAGTTCTAGCCGGAGCAATTAGATAAGAAAAATAAAAAGTGCCCACATTTGAAAGGAAGAAGTAACAACTATCTCTATTCATAGATGACATGATTTTATAAATAAAGAATCCAAAAGAAAGCTGCTAGAACTAGTAAAAAAAATTAAGTACAGTTGCAGGGTATAAGATCAACACAAAAAAATTACTTATGTTTCTATATACCTGCAACAAACAATCCAAAAAAGAGATTAAGAAAGCAATTCCACTTATAATAGCATCTATAAAAATAAAATACACTGGAATAAATTTAAACAAGGAGATGAAAAACATATACTGAAACCTATAAAACATTGCTGAAAGAAGTGAAAGAAGACCTAAATAAATGGAGAGACACCCATGTTCATGGGTAGGAAGACTTAATATTGTTAAGATGTCAGTACTACCCAAAGTGATCTACAGAGTCAATGCAAACCTTATCAAAATACCAATGGCTTTTTTTTGCAGGAATAGAAAAGCTGATCCTCAAATTTATGTGGAATTGCAAGGGATTTCCCAAAACCAAAACAATCTTGAAAAAGAACAAAGTTGGAGGACTCAATCTTCCTGATTTCAAAACTTATTACAAGGATAAAGTAATCAAATAGTCTGATACTGGCATATGGACAGACACAAAGACCAATTGAATAGAATTGAGAGTCCAGAAATAAACCTATATATCTATGGACAATTGATTTTAGATAAGAGTGTAGTCCATTCAGTGGGGAAAGACAGTTTCTTCAAGAAATGGTGCTGCAACAACTGGATCTCCCCATGTAAAAAAAAGTTGAAAAAAATGGTTCAATGCCTTCCTTACACCTTATACAAAATGAACTCAAAATGGATTGACTACCTAAATAAAAAAGCTAAAACCGTAAAACACTTAGAAGAAAACACAGAGGTAAGTCTTTATGACCTTGAAATTGACAATGCATTCTTGATGTGACACCAAAAACACAAACAACAAAAGAAAAAATAGATTAGTTGAACATCAAAATTTTGTGCATCAAGGACATTATCAAGAAGGTCAAAAGACAACCTACAGAATGAGAGGAAACAGTTGCAAATTGTATATCTGACAAGGGTTTAATATCCAGAATATATAAAGAACTCCTAGCCCTGGCCAGTGTGGTTCAGTTGGTTGGAGTGTGGTCTCGTACAGTGAAAGGTCATGGGTTCAATTCCCAGTCAGAGCATATGCCTGGGGTTTCAGGCTTGATCCCCAATAGGGGGTGTGCAGGAGGCAGCCAATTGTAGTTTCTCTTTCCCTCTCCCTTTCTCTCTCTAAAATATTTTTAAATAAAAACATATTTTTAAAATATAAATAAATAAAATAAAGTAATAATAATAATAAAGAGGAAAGTAGGATCCAAGAAACAGAACATGCATCAAGGACAAAGACAAAGGGAATTTCCAGAGTGATGGGAAGGAAGGGCCACGTTGACAACTGAACAACTCTCCAGGTGAGAACCGAAGGGTGAAAAAAACTCAAACAAACTGAAACCTTCATATTATTTTAAGAGGATATTTTCAGCTGTACCAGAGAGCTTAAGAGAGAATTATATGTATAGTAGAGGCCTGGTGCATAGATTTGTGCACCAGTGGGGTTCCTTGGCATAGCCTGCGGGGATTGGGCCAAAACCAGCACTCCAACGCCGTCTGCTGCTCCTGCTCATCCTGGCCCCGCTGCGCCTGCCATCACTGCCTGGTAGGCTTGCTGCTGCTCCACTGTGGTCTCCAGGCCACGGTGGCCAGCCGTGAGCCCTGCATCTGGCATCCATTGGTCAGCTGAGCGGCACTCCCGCTGTGGGAGCACACTGACCACCAGGGGGCAGCTCCTGCGTTGATAATCTGCCCCCTGGTGGTCAGTGTGCATCATAGAGACCGGTCGTTCAGTCATTCAGTCACTTAGGCCAGTGGTCGGCAAACTCATTAGTCAACAGAGCCAAATATCAACAGTACTTCTTCAAAATAGACTCGCCCAGGCCAAAAACCGACTTCTGCGCATGGGCCACGAAGTTTCAATTGCACTGTACGCACGCCCGCACATGGTATTTTGTGGAAGAGCCACACTCAAGGGCCAAAAAGCCGCATGTGGCTCGCGAGCCAGTTTGCCGAACATGGACTTAGGCTTTTATACACACACACACACACACACACACACACACACACACTAGGGGCCCAGTGCATGAATTCATGCACCTTAAAAGGAACTGTGCGCTGTGAGGCTGCAGTGGGCACAGGGGTGGATCTCAGCCCATCCTTTGCGTCCCTGCCCTGCCCCTTCCACCACGGCCCCCAGTCCCCTGTCCGCTGAAAGCCCCATTCCAGCCGCCACCACTCCCGTATACTGACAGTGCGGAGCAATTGGGGCCGGCGCCGGCAGCAGGTGCGAGCGGGGCTGTCACTGGCAATGGGTGCAAGAGGCAGCTGCTGGCCCTGATCGCCCCTCAGGAGCAGGAGGAGATGGAGAAGCCCTGATAGGCGATCAGGGCCAGCAGCTGCGCTTGCACCTGCTGATAGTGCTGAGTGATTGGGGCTGGCGCCAGGCACCAGTAGCAGGTGTGAGCGGCAGCTTCAGTGCCTACAGCGGGTGTGAACAGGTCTGGCGCCAGCAGCAGGTGTGAGTGCTGCGTGGGACTGCAGTTCGTGGGAGCAAAGAATTTTCAGTAGCCACCAAAGGCTTGCCCCAATGACAGCGACCAGCACCCTGCCTTGGTCTGGTGCCCCCACTTACCTGTTCCACTATTCCGCCGCGGCCAACACCTGCCATGTTCTGCGTGCACCCCCTGGTGATCAGCACACATCATAGCGACTGGTTGGTTATTTGGTCTATTTGCATATTAGGGTTTTAAACCATCCAATGAGGCAGTTGTTAATTAACTCTAGGAAAGGCAGAAGTTGTGTTTGGATGGGTGAGATCCAAATATTTATGTTCCATAGTAGGAAAGAAGAAGCCACTTGATAATTTTTAAAACTGAAAGGTGGAGAAATAGCAGTATAATCATGCTATTTAGATACATGGAGGTAAATGCCAAAGCAAGCAGCTAAGAAAAAGTGAGGAATGGGACGAGGCACTGATCTTTTTCGTCATCCACATCATTGTTTTATTTGATGTTTAAAATTTTGTACACTTACCACTTTCAAAAAAAAATGTTTAAAAAAACTGGGGGTCCCATCTCTGGCCTATGTGTGAACTCTGTTGGCCCAAGGGTTCTGCACCCAGCCCAAATGGGTAATAGATTTTGGTACTCACCATAAGCCCGTTATTCCCTCTGCCTGTGGATGAATCTCCAGGTGTGAGCGTGTGTGTGCAGAAAAGTGAGCTGAGGAATCTCAAGGTAGAGAGACTATGCATGGACTTGGGTTCTCATTGGTTCAGTCTCTTGTTTCCCTTCTCACCCCTGAGGACATACATATCTTGGACCTTCATAGCCAAACAACAGAATTGGCCATTTGAGAGAGAAAGAGACAGGGAGGATAGAATGGGAAAGAAGGAAAAAGATGGGGACGTGATGGGTACCTCAGTGGCCTCGCAATAGGAATGGCCTTGTTGACTTTCTACAGCATCATTGAGAGGAAAAGGCAAATGTAAGCATTGCTGGTGGCCACACCACCAGTTGGTACACAGTAATTTGCTAGAGAGGCCAGCATTAACCCAGCACCTTTACTTACAGTTTAGCAGACAGAAAAACACGAGTACCAGGATGGAAATAAATAAATAAATGTATATATTAGAGAGAGAGAGAGAAACATCGATTTGTTGTTCCACTCATCCATACATTTACTCCTGCATGTGCCCCGACTGGAGAGCAAACCCACAACCTTAGCGCATCAAGATGATGCTCTAACCAAATGAGCTACCCGGCCAGGGCAGGCCACAGGATATTAACACAAACATGTCCTCTTCAGCCTTGTTGGAGTTATTGTGAAATTGATAGCAGCCTAAATGCCCACCAGCCTAAAGGGAACGGGGATAGGGAAATTAATCCCACATTATACAATGTGATGCAGGTTTTTTAAAGAGTTGAATCTCTATATGTTGGCATGGAAAGATGTGTGAGAAACAAAAAGTGAGTGTGGCTGAACAATGTGTATAGTATGGCCCATTTTTCTGTGGGGGAGAGTGTATGAGATAACTAGATTAGGGCGTAGCAGAAGTCTGGGGTAGTTACCACTGAGTAGCGGCAGTTCCCTCTGGGAATGGGATGGAAGATGGTTTGGAGGGGAAGGTTCCACCCGTATTTCACATTCTGCTGTGTGCTGGAATTCTTCGATACAGTGTACCCAATACTGTTTTTCTTTATTAAATTCTTTCTTGTTTAAAGTGTTACATATAGTATTTCATATGTCTTCTTTTCCCCCCATTGACCTCTCCCTGACCACCCCACTCCCCAGCATATGCCCTCACCCCCCTACTCTCTGTGTCCATTGGTTATGCTTATGTGCATGTATACAAGAGCTTTGATCTCTTACCCCCAAACCCCCTCCCCTGCCTGCCCTCTGAAGTTTGACGGTCTGTTCTATGCTTCTCTGTCTCTGGATCTATTTTTGTTCATCAGTTTATGTTGTTCATTATATTCCACAAATGAGTGAGATGATGTGATATTTATCTTTCTCTGACTGGCTTATTTCCCTTAGCATAATGCTCTCCGTGTCCATCCATGCTATTGTGAATGGTGAGAGTTCTTTCTTTTTTTCTTATTTTATTATAATTTTTTAAATATATTTTTTAATCGATTTCAGAGATGAAGGGAGAGAGATAGACAGAAACATCAATGATGAGAATCATTGATTGGCTGCCTCCTGCATGCCCCCTACTGGAGAGGGGATCAAGCCCACAACCCGGGCATGTGTCCTTGGCCGGAATTGAACCTGGGAGTCTTTAGTCCACAGGCCGACACTCTACTCACTGAGCCAAACTGGCTAGGGCAAGAATTCCTTCTTTTTTACAGCAGTGTAGTATTCCATTGTGTAGATGTACCACAGGTTTTTAATCCACTCATCTGCTGATGGGCACTTAGGCTGTTTCCAAATCTTAGCTATTGTAACTTGTGCTGCTATGAACATAGGGGTGCATATATCCTTTCTGATTGGTGTTTCTGATTTCTTGGGATATATTCCTAGAAGTGGGATCACTGGATCAAATGGCAGTTCCATTTTCAGTTTTTTGAGGAAACTCCATACTGTTTTCCACAGCGGCTGCACCAGTCTGCATTCCCACCAGCAGTGCACGAGGGTTCCCTTTTCTCTCCATCCTCACCGGCACTTGTCGTTTGTCGATTTGTTGATGACAGCTATTCTGACAGGTGTGAGATAGTACCTATTGTCGTTTTGATTTGCATCTCTCGGATGATTAGTGACTTTGAGCATGTTTTCATATGTCTCTTGGCTTTCTGTATGTCCACTTTCTAAAAGTGTCTATTTAAGTCCTTTGCCCATTTTTTTTATTGGGTTGTTTATCTTCCTTTTGTTGAGATGTATGAGTCCCCTGTAAATCTTGGATATTAGACCCTTACCGGATATAACATTTGTACCCAATACTGTTATGTGGGGTTTTAAAAACTGGCTTTGGAAGTGCAGGGAGGAGGGGCGTGGTGGAGCAGGAACAGGACAGCTCCAGAAAGTGGCAGGACTGGGGCTCTGCCCTGATTTGCTTGGTGCACTTGGGCCAGCCACCGCCCCTTTCCGCGGAGGCCAGTCACATGCTGATGGGTATGTTGGTGGAGGCGGGGAGTGGGGCACACGGCGCTCCTCTGGGGCGCTGTGAGAGCTGCCAGCTTTTAAAGCGCTACCAGGGCTGGAAGTTGTTGACATTCTAATGACACACGATTGGAGAAAGCATCCTGGCAGTCAGACCGAGTTGCCTGCTGAGGAGGGGTCACTGGGTGGAGCTGTTCTTACCTGCCCAGCAGGCCGGGCCCTGTCCTTGCCCTGAGTTAGAACTGTCAGCCTGGGCACCTTCAGATCAACCAGGGAAAGCCTTCCCTCCCTGGGAGCTGGGGAGAGCTGAGCCCTGGTTCCTGGGACTTAGGTCTCCGAAGGGCAGAGCGGGGCCTGGGTCTCAGCCAGCTGTAGTTCTCCCACGTGGATGCCCGGACAGCGCCAGCACAGGAGAGCTCTGGACAGCAGGCTTTGGCTCAACACAAGAGCGTGCCAGGTGTCAGGCATGAGGCTGGCTCAGGTGGGCATGAGCCGCCCGCGTCCCCCCCCCCCCCCCCCCCCCCCCCCGCCCAGAGGTTTCCACAACAGGGCTGATCACACAGGCTGGTGGTCCTATCAGGGACTGGTGGAGGGGAGAATTGTGTGCAACAAGCCTTTTGGGTGGTCAGCTCCCCAGGCTCTAGAAGGGAACGTGATTCAGCTGATGGAGTCAGGGAAGGCTGTGTGGGAGAGTCAGCATATGCGCTGAACTCGGGAGGGGAGGGAAGGGGTGGGGGAGATTTCAGACACCAAAACTGGGACAGTGTTGAAAGGGACTTCAGAGACTCTCCCTGAGGCAGGATACACACCATCATCAACAATTCGAGTGAGGCTTAGGGAGCTGAAGTCGCTTGCCCAAGGTCACATAGCTTTTAAAAGTGCAGTAGCTTTTAAAAGTTCAGAGGTTCCCCAGGGCAGGGCCTTTGAGGAGCCACTGGGTGCAGCCAGCATGGTGATTCAGGTCCCCTGGTTAATTAGTAACAGGGCCCTGTGGCCAGCTCTCAGCTAGCCTAGCTGGGAGGTTGAACTTGAACTGGTTCGCAGTTTGAGTGAGTGGATGACAGGTCACCCCTGACTGGGAAGGTTCTTCCGGCGATTCAGGATTGGGGGACCATGCAGAGAGACAGGAGGGCAGAGCTGTGCTCGGGGCTGCTCCCCAGGACCTGAGCTGGGACCCAGCATTTTCAGGTGAGAGGCTCAGCTGTGGGCAGGACACCTGCCTGCCAGCCTGCTGGTCTGCCAAACCGACTAACTAGTTAGCTAGCCAACTTGATTCCTAACTACCTACTTACTTTCCTTCCTAACACCCTTCTTCCTAATTCCCTCTTTTCTTCCTAACTCTCCTCCCCCACCCTGCCTTGCTTCCTTCTTTCCTAATTTTTTTTCTTAACTCCTTTTCCCCTATCCCTCCCTCCATAGCCTCCTTTCCTCTCCACTCTCTCTCTACCTCTCAGCCACCTAGTTGTCTTCCTTCCTAACTACCAATGTACATTCTCACTTCCTTCCCACTAACTTCATGCCTCCCTTTTCTAAATTCCTAACTCCTTCCTGAAATTCCAGGCCTTGGAGTCAGACTGCCTGGGTTCACGTCTCAGTTACATCACTTACTAGCTATGTGGCCTGATCAAGTCACTTCACCTCCCCGAGCCTCAGCGTCCTCCTCCTTCAAACAGGGACGATGATAGTTCCCAACCCATGGCGTTGTGGGAACAAAGTCAGGTCAAGCTGCAGAGAAGGGAGCCCGAAGCCTTAGGAGCAGAGAGCTGCTCAGATGTGGGGTTCACAGTCAAGGTGATGGGGGAAGGAGAGGGTGTGCAATGGGCATGTCGAAGTTCCCACCAGGACTTAGAGACTTTGCACGGTGGTACAAGGATAAGAAATAAGCTAACCCACTGTCACCTTGGGTTGTGGCCCTCAGACTTTTCTCAGTGGCTGTGGCTCTACACAAATGTCCGTGTGCCCACCTGTCTTTTTGTTCTGTACAAAGACAGTACCCCTGGTACACCTACCATTTTGAAATCTGGTTTGTTGGTTTCGCTTGACACTGTAGCACATGTATGTTTCTGCTTCCATGCACATAGGCTTGTATGTCAGTTTTGTTTGCTGCTGGGTAATATTCCATTTTATATGTGTCCTGTAATTTATCTTATCAATTCATTCCTTGATTCATTAGTCAAATATGTAGGGAGCACCGACTGCCTTCCAGGCCCCGTTCCCGGTGCTGCAGTCCACAGTGAACAAGAGAGTCTTTGCCCTCCTGGAGCCAATGTTCCCATTCGAGATAGAAAACAAACAAGACACTGCGTGTGAAGGTGTCAAAGAGTGATAAGCGTTCCGAAGTAAAAGATAGCGCAGGAAAGTGAGAGGGAGTGAGCGGGACTGGCTTTGTAGAGCGACCAGCCATCCTGGTTTGCCCAGGACTGTACTGGTTTTAGCACTAACAGTCCCACATCCTGGGAACCTGGAAGTCCCAGACAAGCCAGGACAAGCGGTCACCAGGAATCAGAAGAGGCCTGAGAGGCCACATGTGAGCAGAGATCCTGTGAGGTTAGCGGAAGGCAGCTCTGCAGACGAGCATTCTAGGCAGAGGAAGTGCGAGGGGCAGGAGGCCAGAGGACACGCTGTGTCTGAGGAACAGCCGGAAAGCCAGAGAGGCTGGCGTGTTGTGAGAGGAGAGCAGTGGAGATGGGTGGGCAGGGAGGCAGAAGCCGGGGTGGACCAGCGTAAAGACTTTGGATTTTGATCCTCCAAGTGATGGGAAGTCACTGGAGTTTTGAGCAACAAATCACATGATCTGATTTACATTGTTAAAGAGTCACTCTGGCTTTTGGTGGGAGCTTGTACTGGGTAAAGATAGAAATAGAGAATCAGCCCTAGCCAGTTTGGCTCAATGGATAGAGCGTCGGCCTGCAGACCAAAGGGTCCTGGGTTCGATTCCAGTCAAGGGCACGTACCTTGGTTGCAGGTTCCTCCCTTGCCTGGGCCCTGGTCAGGGCTGGTACAGGAGGCAACCAATCGATGTGTTTCTCTCACATCGATGTTTCTCTCTGTCTTTCCCTCTCTCTTCCACTTTCCCTAAAAATCAATGGAAAAATATCCTTGGGTGAGGAATAACAACCAAAAATAAAAAAAATAAAAAACTTAAAAAAAGAAAAGAAATAGAGAATTGGTAAGGCAGCTATTGCAGTGATCCACGCAAGGTGGTTGCAGCAATGGGTTTCTGGTTGCACTCGGAGGTTTGAACCTCTTGGGATTTCTTGGAGGAGAGGAGGTGGGGTAAGGTGCCAGCTTTTTAGAATGAATTCCAGTTGCCGGCTTGAACTTTTGAGTCGGTGGTGGTGCCAGGGAAGAGTGGAAGGAAAGTGAGTCAAGACTGGTTTCAGACATGTTGAGTCTGAGGTGCCTCTGGACATCTAACCAGTGAAGGGTTGAGGAAGCCGTTAGTTATCTCAATCCAGAATTCAGGAGAGAATCAGAACCAGGGAGATACGTTTGGGAATTATTGCGTACACTTGGTACTCAAAGCCATGAAAGTGCTTGAGCTCAACTAGGAACAAGTGTAGACAGAGGTCCAAGGGCTGAGCCCTGGGACAGGCCAGTGTTAAAGGTAAAAAGAGGAGGCGAATCCAGCCGAAGAGGTGGGGGAAGAGCAGTCAGTGAGGTGGGCGGGCATCCAGTAGCTCCTGAAGCCAAGTGGGAGGAGTGGGTGTGTCAGATCCTCCCGAGAAGCTGGGCGAGAGCAGGACGGAGGATCCATCCCTGGCCCTGGCACGCGGAAGCCACCGTTTCGGCGCCGGATTGGGGTGAAAGCTTTGTGACGGGTTCTAGAGAGAACGGAAAAAGGAATGGAGGCTGAGCCCACACCGTTCTTTCAAGGAGTTGAACTGAAAAGGGGGACAGCGAAATGGACAGCACCTGGAGGGGCTGTGAGGTCGAAGGGGGCTATGACAGCGGCAATATTCCGAAGCGCCTTGTGGTGGAACATTCAGGTTATAGTGATCACTGCCATTGCTTTCCTGTTCTAAACAGTGCTGCCGGCTGGAGGGCCAATCAGGGGCTTGTTATTGAAAAGAAATGTCCTTGCTCTGCTACGTGTTTTGTCAACAGGACACCCTGCCCGTCTGTGTATTGGTTCAACATTTCTATTTTGTTGGAAGATGGTAGGCTCTGATGTTGTTCACTCGGTTTCCTTGGCTGACACCTCCAGTGCCCTGCTCTCAGAGCCCGCAGAGAACCCCTGGGCCACTAGGCTCAGGTCCCGCCCTGACCAAGCCCCTTGGCCCAGCCCCATAAATCCCTCCACTGTGGTGAATTGCAGAGGTCTGGGTGTGGCATGTGGCAGCCACACAGAAAGTTCCAGAAGAACAGGGGCTGTGTCAGGCCATGTCAAGTCCTGCGTTCCCTAGAACATCCCTCATGACTCCGGGGGAGAGGAGAGACCCATGAACACCTAATTATCACACCAGGGAACAAGAACTTCATGAGCCAAGTGCTGGCTGGGACCATGTTTCCTGCCTCTTACATAGTCACAGAGCGGTGGGCCAACCAGCCCTATCCTGGGGACTGCAGGCCAGAGTCCTGGAGGGGCCAGCAGGGAAAGGCCCCAATGGCCAAGGACTTGGCATTCAAAGACCAAGGCCAGCTGGGTGAGCCAGACACCTGGGCTCCAGGTTCCTCTCAGGTTCTTGGGGAGGCGCGAAGGGCTCTCAGCTGCCATGGTGGAGGTCCTGGGACCTCATCTTCAGTCCCAGATGGTTTACATCAGGCCTGGGTATACCACAGGGAGCATATCTTACAGACAGGCACCTACACACACACACACACACACATACACACACACACACACACACACACACACGAGATTTACCAACCTACACCAGTGTGAATGCAGACATACAATAACCTACATATATACATGCAGTTACACTGTCATGCACATGTATCAATAGACTCCTATACTCATCTGCAGACTCACACAGGTAGACACCCACACGCGACCACATGCATACACACAAGCACATTAACACATAGATACACACTGACACGTTGACACACTGCACAGAGGCTCCCTGAGGCACACACACATGCACACTGAGAACGTACAGTCAGAGTTGCACAGACACACAGAAAAATTATCCAGACAAGGTCACCATGCCACACACTCATAACAGAGCACAGGCAGCCATCTACATGGACTCACACACTGACACAATACTTTGCCATACAGGGACACACAGACACACAGGCCGAAGCACATCTATACGTGAAACACCTGCACACGCACACACACATGCTGACCCACACCCACATGTTCTAACAAGCCCGGAGTCTCCAGGGCTCTCCTGCAGCTGCTGCCCACCCCCAGGGGGAGCCGATGTCCCCAGGGAACAGAGGTTTCCCATCCCATCTTTAGCTCTGCCGGGTCCTGCATGACATCAACGGTCCCCTCGGTGCTGATGCTGCCGGGAGTTCCGAGCTGGGGCCAGGCCGGCGCCAGGCACAGACACTTCAGCCCTTGTTGGGAGAACAGAGAGAGGCTGTGTTGTCCATTGCCCATCCTCCGGCTCCAACTGCTGGTTCTCTCAAAGGCCTCTCCTCAGGCCGGCGCAGGTATGTGGGGCCGGGGAGGCCAGGGCCTGGCAGAGGGGCCATCGGAGTCAGCGCAGGAGAGGGTGTGGCAGCCTCACAGGAGCGAAGGCCGGGGGCACAGGCTGTGCTCCCCATGGGCAGCTCTGCAGCTCGCTTTCTCAGGGCTCCACAGAGCTGGGGACTCCCTCCCTTTCCCCGTGGTCACTTTCTCAGCTTTCAAGAAGGCCATGGGGGGGGGGCAGGTGCCCCCTTGAAGGATGGGCAGTGTCTACCCAGAGAGGCCAGGCTACAGCCCGGGCCCCACAAAGAACCAAGGCTGTGGTCTTGGGATGCACAGTACCCAGCAGTTCCCTCAAGCTGATATCTCATCTGGGATGTCAGCTCTTGGCCTTGGCCTTCCAACCAGGGGTGGGGCTGTGGGGCCCTGGACATCCTGAGTCAGGGCCTAGATATGCTAGCCTCCTCCAGCCTGCAGGGTGGGGCAGGGAAGACACGGTGCTCCCTCCTTTCCCTGGGCCTAGACCAGCTGATCTGTTTAATCTCAACTAGACACTGGCCAGTCTGAGGACTCTCCATGGCATTAGTCCAAGGCCCCCAGGGCAGTGCCCTTTCAGGGGCTCTCTACAGGAATTCAGGGTTACAACATGCTTGTATGGGAGCCTGGGGAGCCCAGCCTGCCCCTCACAAGCTGTGTAATCCTAGCAAGTCCCTTTCTAGGCCTCAGGCTTCCCACCTGTGAAATGGGGGGAGGGGTGCAAACTTTTATGTTCTGCCAGAGTCCCCCCAGGCCTAGCCATCCTGGACTTCTGGAGCTGCCCTGGCTCACAGGAATCTTGCTACCTTGGCTGTCCTTGAAAAACACTCAGCCTGGGAGGAGCCACCCTGACCATTCTCCTTCCTTCCCTCCTGAGATGTTTGATTGGAGAGGCTGGGTCCAGTGGGTATCCTTTCCTGTCCCAGGCAGGGGTTGCTGCCAAAGCTCAGGCTGTGGCAGGTGCACGGACGGGGTTGGGGAGGGATGGTGAGATCAGCGGTGCTTGAAGCTCTAGACAGGTGAATCTAACTCCCAACCAGCTCTCTCATGCCAGCTCCTCCTTGTGCCCCCAGCACCCACCCTATCACTGTTACAGAATGGACTCTAGTGCCAGCCCAGCGGGGACTTCCAGTCCACAGGTGAGTGGGTCTTGGTTCCCCTGCCCACCAGCAGGGGGCTCACTTCCTTACATGGCTCAGGAAATCTATGCCAGCACCCGCCAGGAAGGTGGGTCATCCCAGACAGGACTGGGCGGTCAATAGGGGTCACTCTGAGCTCACAGAAGTGAGCCATTTGCAGGATAAATAGAGAAGAGACTTGGGCAAAGGTTTCACGAAGTAAATGGGGTGGGAAAATCATGGGATTGGTCCGAGGAACAGCCTGTAGTAAGTCCTTGGACAGCGCTCTCTGGGCCTTAGTTTTCTCACCCGCACAGCTGACATGACAGCAGCCTCCCAAGGTGGTTGTGAGAAGCAGATGAGATGGTGGATGGGGGAGTGGGGTGGGGAGAAGGGAGGAAGGAAGGAAGGAAGGAAGGAAGGAAGGAAGGAAGGAAGGAAGGAAGGAAGGAAGGAAGGAAGGGGGTAGCCTAGTAGAATGGATCAGGGCCGGGGGCCCAGAGAAAAGGGAGCCAAGGACTAGGAACCTGTTGATATTAATCTCTTCTTTCTGTAAATGTCTTAAGCCTTCAAGGGCCAATGGGAACATCAACCTGGGGCCTTCAGCCAACCCAAAGTGAGTTCTGGTCTCTACGGCAACTTTCTTCCCTGGCTCCCCTCAGGCCAGGCTCCCCTAGCCTTGGGAATAAAATCCAAGCTCTCTGGTCTACCTTCAAGACCCTCTGTGACCTGGGCCCCAGACCACCTCCCAGCTTTACCCCCCATGAATTCCCAGCCTCTGCCCATGCTGAGCCCTGGGCCTGGGATGCGCCCCAAAGTCTGCATTATTAACAACTGCCTGCCCTTCAGGCCCTTCTCAGGCTTTGAGCCGGCTCCCTCACCTCTATGCATTGTGTCTGGGTTTCTCCCCACCTTACCTGCTGTTTATCTGATCGTGAGATCCCCAGGTGCAGGGCCAGTCTTACAAGCCCCTCTTGGCTGGGAGGACATCATTCTTCAGTGATGAGGAGGCTGGGCTGTAGGAAAGCTCCCTGTATTCCCCACCTTCAAAGTGAAAAAGAAGTCTGGACTTGATCTCAGGATGGAGTTTCACAATCTTGCAAATGCTGACCCGTGTTCTTCCCTCTTCCCCCAGTGCCCGGCCCACTGACTTCGACTTCCTCAAAGTCATTGGCAAAGGCAACTATGGGAAGGTGAGTAACATGGTGAAGGTGGGAAGCCTAGGTCTCCCCTTCTCCAGCCTCCTCCACCCCGTGCCTATCACCTGCATGTGCAAAGAGGGAGCTCACAACCTGCAGGTCCAAGGATGCAGGGCCGGCGCTGGGGCCATCAGAGGAGTGGTCTCCTGCGGGACCTTGCATTTCTGCTTCCGTTCAGGTCCTCCTGGCCAAGCGCAAGTCCGACGGGATGTTCTATGCAGTGAAGGTGCTGCAGAAAAAGTTCATCTTAAAGAATAAAGAGGTACCAGAGCTCAGGCATAAGCATTTCCTCTCCTATTCCTCGACTCCCAGCCTCGGGGGGCTTCCCCAGATGGTTCCCAACTGTGAAGGGTCCATGGGCTGGGTGCAGAGGGGGTCTGAGCAGGGGGCCAGCTGGTGCCAGGATGCTTACCATTCTCGAGGAAAGCAGGCCAACCACGTCAGCCACAGGCTGCAGGAGGAGCCAGTCCCAGCCCTGTGCCTCCCTCCAATGAAATTTGGGCCTCACAGTGGACAGTCCTTTGCCCTGCCTGGGTGCCCGCCACCCCATCTGTGCAGAGTGGGGTCACACCTCCTACTCTTCAAAGGCCCTCCCAGCCACAGCCATCCTGGAGTTCCAGATGCTTTAGCTGATCCAAGTCTCTTTACTGGTAATTCCAACCCCAGTTGGAGAGAGCAGGCCCATAGAGGGTTGGATATAAAATCAGAGCACCCAGGAGAGGGAATTAACGTTAACAAGGACATCAGGAGGGTGGGTAGGGGAGGTCTTCCTGAGGGAGGTGGCCTTGCAGCTGGCCTTGAAGGTAGGGTTCTATGGTCTGCGAAGAGGGTGCCCAGGCAGGGGACACAGCATGAGCAAAGGCGTGAATGTGGCTTCGTGGATGCAGAAATCATATATTCTTTGTTTATCACCCCTGATCTGGGGCTGGAGCTGCACCCGTGTGAACTGACAGGGGATGAGACTGACCACACAGACCCCTGAATACTAGACAAGGGGCCGGGCCTGGCAATGAGGAGCCACAGGGGGCGTCTGAGGAAGGGCAGGGTAGCCCCACCAGCGAGCGGTGGGCGGTGACACGGCCCCTGTCTGTGACCTCACAGCAGAACCACATCATGGCGGAGCGCAACGTGCTTCTGAAGAACGTGCGGCACCCCTTCCTCGTGGGCCTGCGCTACTCCTTCCAGACCCCCGAGAAACTCTACTTCGTGCTCGACTACGTCAATGGAGGAGAGGTGGGTGGGGCTGCAGGGGCTCCCCTGGGCCAGCTCTTAACTGGGAGCTGTCCATCCCACATACCCCCTGTGTGCCAGGTTCTGGAATGCTCTCACATCATCCATACAACAGACCCATTTTGTAGGGGAGGAAACGAGGCTCAGGAGCTAATCACTTGCTCCAGGCCACCAGCCCAAACCCGGCAGAGCCAGGACTGGAATGTGGGTCTGTATTGATTTCCCCCTGCAAAGCTGCCCGACTCACCTGGAAGGTCAATGTTACCGGAGCTCTGTGGTCAAGATTTGCAATGCCCCCGTTTACAACAGAGGCCAAGGGGTGGGGGTGGGGTGGGGGTGGGGTGGCCTATCACTGTGGTAAATGGAGATCTGAGGCCCCCTGGTGACCTAGCAGCACAGCTGCATGAGCTGAGTTCCTTCCTGGACTTCACTCTGGCTCTTAGTGAGGCCCCTCAGTGACCCCAGATTTAAGCTCTATGACCTCATGCCTTTGGCCTGATGCTGAGAGGGAAGTTTTTGTCCAGCATCCTTAAGTCCCCTGATGGAGTTGGAAGGTTTTCCATGCTAGCACAACACGCCAAAGCAATTGGCCCACAGGCAGATCTATCCTGGGCTGAGTTTGACTTGGCCATGATAATCTGATCACCTGGGTTGGAGGAAAAACCTGTCTTTGAACCACCCAGTTTCAAATCCCAGCTCTGCCAATTGCAAGCTGTGTGACCTTGGCAAGTCACCTGACAGCTCTGACCCGTCCCAGACTCCTCTTAGGTGAAACTAGCGTCATATTTGATATTTTGAAGGCGGTCACTAGGATTAAATAAGATGTGAAAGGTTCTGGCTTGGAGCTTGGAACAAAGTAGGTGCTCAGTCCATGTGAATTAATCTCTCCTGCTGACCCTGTGGACACCCACAACTGCTGTATGGGGTGGGGCAGACATGCCCTTTGTTGTCTGAGTACATTGCTGTTCAGAGAGGGGTGACTTGGGCCGCTGCCCCCTGCCCTCCAGCAGCTGGAGCCCCCCAGGAAACCCTCTCACAGTGTCCTCCTTCTCCAGCTCTTCTTCCACCTGCAGCGGGAGCGCAGGTTCCTGGAGCCCCGCGCCCGGTTCTACGCTGCCGAGGTGGCCAGTGCCATTGGCTACCTGCACTCCCTCAACATCATCTACAGGTGAGGCCTGCCTGTGGCTCAGGGGTTATGTGGGCCCCTAAATCCTGATGAAATGCCAGTGAACTGGCCCTTTGTCTGAGGAAAATGCCCCCAGGGGGTAGGATGAGAGCCTCCTCCTTTCTAGGATCAAGTGCCCATCCCCCCCCGGACACCTCTGTGAGCCTCCATGAATAGTCCTCCCGCCAGGACCCCAGGTCCCCAACTGTCCTCACTCAGTGGCTGAGCCGTCACAGCGTTTTTTCTCATTTTATGCAGGGACCTGAAACCAGAGAACATTCTCTTGGACTGCCAGGTTTGTGCGTGTGTATGCATATGTGTGTATGTGCATGGTTGCAATGAATGTTGTGTACCCACATGTATGTGTATGGGTGTGCATGCATTGTGTAGAGATGCATTCAAATATATGTGTGCACATACCCATATATGTGTACATCTGTATATATGTGCATCATGTGCACACAAGACCATGTATATACGTACGTGGGTGTGCACATGTATATTCAGGAGGTCTATAGAGGGCAGAGGTGGGGCCAGGTGGAGGCTTGTGGATTTTGTAGTCCCTCCATGTCTTCGATTGGATTCCCTGGAAACAGACCCTGAGATGAAGCATTGGGTGCAGGTTATCAGGGGCCACTCTCAAGAGATCTCCCTTTAAGGGGGTGAAAGGCAGGATTGGGCAGAGGAGGAAGCTCACCTCCTCCTTGTGGATGAAAGTGAGGCCTCAGATGATCTTATAGGGCAGGGACGACCCCAGATGGAATGGCTCTTTGGACCTGTTCCAAACTGAGGCAAGGAGGCTGGGCATTTGTGCCCCTGCATCAGTCAGTCATTGGTGGGATTGCCCCTAGGGAGGGGCATAACTTTGGGTGAGGGCAGTGTCCCAGCGCGGGTGGGGGGAGGGGCATGACAGCTCCCAAAGGGGAGATTTGGGCAGAGTCCCGCAGTATCCACTCACTCCACGACCTCCACCAGCCACCCACCTGACCAGCTGCACAAGGTGTGGCTGCTTTCTGGGCCCCAGCCCTCTGTCAAGGGACTTCTGCCACCGGGCCTCTCCAGCCAGGACATTCTAGAGCTGCCAGTGTAACAGGGCATGGGTCTGAGTCTGTGATGAGCTGGGCAGACAGTGGAATGCCATCTCCCCACCTTGCCCCCTGTGCAGCTCCCAGTCCAGAAGCCCTGGGTCGCTGAGTAAAACCTCAGCCTGTGTAGGGGCATCAGACCCCAGAGGTGCTGCCCTGGGGGGTGGGCATTGGGCATTGGGGTTAGGCCTGGCCATACCATTATCTTAGCCCACCCTTCTGTCCCGGACTTCCCTCCTCTGCAGGGACACGTGGTCCTGACAGATTTTGGCCTCTGCAAGGAAGGTGTAGAGCCGGAGGAGACCACATCCACATTCTGTGGCACCCCCGAGGTGAGCTAAAACTCCGAAGAGAAGGCAGGCTGGGTGGTTGAGGCCACAGCTCCTGATTAGAGGTGACAGGTGACAGCTAAAGGGGCTCACTCCTTCCACCCAAGCACTTCTCCTGAGCTGCTTGTGCACTCAGCCTTGGTTTCCTCATCTGCATAATGGGGGCATCAGCTCTGGGGGCTGCTGGGCCCCCGCCAGCTGCTGAGGACTCTGCCACAGTGATGTCCAATAGAAATAGGAACAGAAATGCAAACCATATAAGCAATTAAAATTTTCCAGCAGCCATGTTTAAAAAGTAAAAAACAAGTGAAATTAATTTTAATAATATATTTAAATTAACCCAATATGTATATATAAAATATTGTCATTTCAACATACCATCCATATAAAATTGTTGAGATATTTTATTCTTTTTTTCTAAATTTTTGAAATCTGTGTGTATTCTACACTGATGGGCCATCTCAGCCACACTTTAAGTGTTTGATAGCCATGTGTGGACAGTGGCTGTGGTCCTGGACAGCATTGTCCTACAGGGTGAAGTCCATGTGCAACAGGAGGGCCTAGCCTGACAATTAAGATCAGGGCTTGCAAGTGTGAAGGAAGCACTTTACTTCTACTCTCTTTCAGCCACAAAGCCTGGGGGGTTAAAATATATGTGTCCCAGCAGTAAGTCACACGTCTGTCTGTCCAGCCAAGGCCTCTATGCAACCCTGGGGTTCAAACCTTCCCTTAAACTCTGGACAGAAGGGTCACTAGTTGCTTGGACAGATGTCTGGGTGGGGTTGTGGGCCTGAGGCTGTTGGACCTGGCATGGGGCAGGACTTTAGCTGCTCCATTTTTCTCCCTATGCCTGAAAGGTCGGGTTCCAGATCTCAGCTGGGCCTCCTCAGTTTGGTTTTAGGGTAGCCGATGGACAGATGACCCCTCTGAGCAGGAGCCATTGTCTGTGTTTGTGTGTGGCAGGAGTCTGCTGGACAGAGCTGGCCTCCCAAAGCCTGACAGCCCAGCCATCCTTTCCCTGGACATTGCCAGGGGCAGGGAGCAGGGGATATGGCTCATGTAGGAGACATGTGGCCCCAACATGTCATTTCTTTCACCATCTTTTTCTCCAAGTGCCTTGTTTACAGATGGGGAGACTGAGGCTGAGGGTCTTTCAGATAAGTGTGTTTCCTCTCAACAGTACTTGGCTCCAGAAGTGCTTCGTAAAGAGCCTTATGATCGGGCGGTGGACTGGTGGTGTCTGGGCGCCGTCCTCTACGAGATGCTGCATGGCCTGGTGAGTGGGGTGCAGCTGTCTTCAAGGGACATCTGGCTCTGGGGAGAGATGGGGGTGGTCTCTTCCTTACGTCACCTGCTCAGGCTCCTCAAGGAACTGAACAGGCCACTCCAAGCTAAAAAAGATGATGCCAGCCCTGGCCGGTTTGTCTTAATGGTTAGAGCATCGGCCTGCAGACCGAAGGGTCTCAGTTCTATTCCCAGTCAAGGGAACATACCTGGGTTGCAGATTTGATCCCCACTCCAGAAACAACCAATCCATGTGTCTCTCTCACACTGATGTTTCTCTCTCTCTCTCCTCTCTCTCTCTCTCTCTCTCTCTCTCTCTCTCTCTCTCTCTCTCTCTCTCTCTCTTTCCCCCCTCTTTTCCTCTCTTCCTGTCTCCTTCCTTCCCTCCCTTCCTTTCTCTCTAAAAAAAAAAATTAATGGAAAAAGTATACTCAGGTGAGGATAAAAAAGAAAATGACACCAAAATGAATATTACAAGTGTTATATGTAGTTTTTTAATACTGTCAGTTCAGCACTTTATAATACACTGTCTCTTATGTTACTCCTCTTGTGCCTCAAAACAGCCTATGGAGAGTGGCTGCAGGAAATGGAATTGTTCTTCGTTTAATTAGTGGAAAGGGAAACTGAGCCCAGAAAGGTCTCAGTGCTGGTAGGTTGTGGAAAGGGACTCCATCCTAGGCTGCCTGCTTGGATGGAGGCAGTGCAGTCTCCCCAGGCCAGGCCTCACTGGGCAGCTTCGTGGATATGACGAGCAGGCTCCGTGGAGTCTGGAGAAGGAAGAGCTGGCCGAGGAGGTGGGAGGAAGAGCATCAGGAAAGGTGGGCTCTGGATATGGTTGGGGCCTGGCTTTCTTCCTAGCTATGCCACAGGCTTTAATCTCTTTGAGCCTTGTCTTCTCATCTGAACAATTACTACCTGTCTCGAAGGATGGTTGTGGGCTGGGATGAAATGATGAAGGGGAGAGCATGAACTCTGCAAAGTGCAAAGTTGGTGCACAAGCCAGATTCGGAGAGGTGGGATAGGGGATGCTCCAGGAGGCCCACAAGCCTTACACCCATGAAGAGAGACTCCTCAGCCTTCCCAGCAGCCCTCTCCACTGTGCTAGAAGCCCAGGTCTCTCTGTCCCTCTCCAGTCTGCCCTGTGAGCCATTTTACAAGACGTGGTCTGGCTGAACCCTTTCAGTGACCCAGCTTTGCTCCATGTCTCTCTGAGACCTGTGTCCACTTGAACATGGATGATCCTGCAGCTCTCTCCCTCTCTCACCAGCCACCCTTCTACAGCCGAGACATCTCCCAGATGTATGAGAACATTCTGCACCAGCCACTACAGATCCCTGTGGGCCGGACGGTGGCTGCCTGTGACCTCCTGCACGCCCTTCTCCACAAGGACCAGAGGCAGCGGCTGGGCTCCAAGGCAGACTTTGTAGGTGACTTGCCAGAGGCGTCCTGGCCCCTTCCTGCAGAGGCCGCTCAGCACAGTGACAGGCATCCAGCTGTCTGTGAAACCAAGCACTGCTAATTCGTTCATTTGGATATTCACAGCTGCTGCTGCTTGACTACTCCCTTCAGTCTAGTTCTATTCAACCAATATTTACTGAGCACCTACTATATGCCAGACATGGAACTAGATGCTAGGGATTCAATAGACTGGGTCTCTGCCCTTATTAAATTTTTTTGGGGGTGGGGGGAGGGCAGACAACAAACATTATATACAATTATTACAGAGTATGACAAGTATCAGGAAACAAATGGACAATGAGTTAAGATAGAAAATAATGAGAGGGGGTGAATTCACACTGCTATAGTCAGGGAGGGACTCCCCAAGGAGGGGACAATTAAGCTGAGACTTGAAGGAAGAGAAGGAACCACTCATGCAGAGCTGGGAGGAGGCATCCCAGACACAGAGCAGCATGTGCAAAAGTCCTGTGGTGGGAACGAGGAGGAGAGTGAGTGGTATGCTTTAGGGTGTTTTGAGGAGGGGTGTGGTAGGACCCAATTTAAGTTTTAATAAATTCCTCTGACTTCTGTGCAGAGTGGACTGGACCAGCTTTTCACAGACATCTGGGAACTTCCTCCCTGCCACTGCCCAGGCTAGGCACTCAGGATATAGAGATCAATAAGTCGCAGTCCATTCCCTTAACAAGTTTATATGTTTTTCACTAAAGTAGCATTTAAAAAATAATCTTACATTCTCTACGCAACCAAAGATCATTTGGATTTATAAAAGGAAGACCACACTACTCTTCTCCCTGGAACTTTGTTTTCTCTTCCAGCATCATGGTTGAGATGCATGGCCTAGGAGACAGGCTACCTGGGTTCAGATCCCTCCTCCACCACTTACACTCAACTTCTGTGAGCCTCAGTTTCCCCATCTGTAACAACAGCACCTACAAAAGTCAAATGGATTAAGATATGCAGAGCACTTAGGCTAACACTTAGCACATAGTCAGTGCTTTTTAAGTGTTTTTACAGACAGCCCTACATGTCTGATACTGTGAAGTGTAACAACATTTAGGGTGTTTGCCTACCCATCCCTGGACAGCTTAAAGAATGTGACTTTCATGAAGATTGGTCCACTCCTTCTAGGTGGAAATTTTCATCTTAAAAAATATGTATGATTTAAAAAAAATATCTACATTCACATCGATCAAAATTCAAAGAATATCCAGAAAAAGTCCCTCCAGTTACCCAGTTCCTTAATTTAGAGGCAACCAGTGCTACCAGTGGTTTGGGTATCTTGGATATTTTGGATCTGGCTTTTTAACAAGCCCAGAGGTACTATTCTGATACAGTGGCTGGAGAATCATTCTTTGAGAAACACAGATAGAGAGGGGGTCCTGCTGGGACAGGAGAAAGTTGGTACTGACATTGGTTTGGAGGAAAGAAGTGGTGAAACATGTCCAAGGCTGAGTCCTAAATTCTGGGTCTCTGGGAACCTGCAGCTTTTCTTGGGGATTTCCTTTCTAAACCTTTCATAGTGAATTCATTTGTCTATTTCTCTGGTTTGCATTCTGAAAGAGTCAAAATGCACTAAGGCAGAGTGGGGCGGGGTCCCCGAGATTCCCTGGGAACCCTGAGGGCAGGGTCTGCTGTCTTGTTCAATGACATACCTTCAAAGCCTTCTGGTGCCGGCACAGAGCAGGTATTCAGTAAGTAGATGTGGAATAAACAGATGTCCTGGGGGAAAGGGGTTGGGTTCCTGGTGATCCAGAAAGGGAGCGTCTGGCTGAAGAATGCTCGCTCTTTTGTTCCAGGAAACCAGCCAGAGGTACAAGTTACTTTCTCAGCAAGGGTTTTAGGGCTTGACAGCCAGCTGCCAATAGAGTAGGGCCATGTGGGGTGGGGAGGGGAGCACCCATGGAGAGGGCTGCTTCTGATCAGCACCTTCTTTCTGCAGACTGAGATCAAGAACCACGTATTCTTCAGCCCCATAAACTGGGATGACTTGTACCACAAGAGGCTGACCCCACCCTTCAACCCAAACGTGGTAAGAGGTCACGGCGTTCCAGACTCTAGCCTAGCTGCTAGGGCTGGGGGCAGTTTGGAAGGTATCTGGCCAACTCTCTACAGATGGAAAAAGCAAGGGTCCCTGCGGCTCCAGGTTTGACCAGGCCACATAGTAAGTTAGAGGCAGAAACTGCTCTAGAACCCAAAGTCCTGACCGCCAGTTCAGCTCTGTGTGATGAGCCATGCTTCTGCGCCTTTATTTACAGCACCGGCAACTCTCATTGCACAGGCCTTTGCAGTTTTCACAGTGCTCTGTGTCATGTAGCACGCCCAGAGGGGGGAAAGCCCTGTAAAGACATTTTCCCCCCATGGTTCGCTTTTCCCCTGATAAGTAAAATGGCATGTAGTCATTGTAGAAAGTATGCAAAACAGAGAAGTTTAAAGCAGCAGGAAGAAAAAGCTTATTAGCTCACTACCCAAGAGAAAGCATAGCTGGCATGTTTCCTTCCAGTCATTTTTCTGTGTGTGTGTGTGTGTGTGTGTGTGTGTGTGTGTGTGTGTTTACATAGGTCATATTTTATATATACACATATTTCTCCTCCATACCCCCTTTTCTTTGCTAAATACTATGCCACTATTTCCCCAAGTCATATAAAACTTTGTAAGGACCACTTTAAGTAGCTCATACTATTTCAACCCTATGCTGGTGATATAATTTATTCAACTAGGCTCCTAACGGTGAACATTAGGTTATTACAACTTTTTTTTTTTATCATAACGTACTGATGAATATCTTTAAGTGTCTATCGTCCAGAATTCTGATTATTTCCTTGTGATGGAGTCCAGATGGGGAATGACCAGGTCAAAGACTGTGAATGTTTCTAGGTTCTTGATTCATACTGCTCTCGCTGTGTGTTAGGAAGGGCAGTCTATTTCCGACCAGTAGAGGCTGAGGGAGAATTCTCATCTTACTCTCTGCAGCATGTGAGGTTGCTTTTAACTTTGCAAATACGTTAAGTATAAAATGGCATTTAGCATTGTTTTAATTTCTATTTCTTTGATTTACAGTGAAGGTGGTTAGTTTTTAAATGTTAATTAGCAGTGCTAGTATGAAAAAAAGGAACCCCATTTGAGGTGGACACTGGAGTTCTCTTGGCCACCTGTAAGGGTCAAGCAATGTCAAATCCCCTTTATCTGAGCAGTCGGCACACTTCAACACTGCCAATGTCACTACCGACACCTTTCCTTTGCGATTTACCTGTTCGCGGACGTGTCTTTGAGCACCAGATTCTTGACATCAGTTGTCATTTAGGGTACGCTCAGTCCAGGCACCTGAAAAGTTTCTTTATCTGGGGACATTTAAAAAGAGTTTGAGGATAATATTGAACATACACCCTGGAGAGAGAATAATATGCAAAATACTAGGCAGGGAGGTAATATCATACAATGCGTGAACTTTAGAGTGAGGCAGAGTGGGGGTGGATTCCTGGCTCTGTCACCTATCACTTGTGAGACCTTGAGTAAGTTTTTGTTTTTTAATTAATCCTCACCTGAGGATTTTCTCCATTGACATTTTTAGAGAGAGTAGAAGGGGGTAAGAGGGAGAGAGAGATATTAGAGAAATATCGATGTGAGAGAGACACATGAATTGGTTGCCTCCCGTACATGCCCTGACCGAGGCCAGGGATTGAACTTTCAACAGAGGTACATGCCCTTGACTGGGATTCGGACCTACGACCCTTTGGTGTGTGGCCAATGCTCTAAACACTGAACCATGAGGGCCTGGGCTTGAATAAGTTTCTTTAGCATCAATGTCCTTGTTCATTAAAAAACAAACAAACAAACAGGAAAACAGAAAATACCTGCCTTGTCTAGGGCCACACAGCATAATGGGGCCAGGATTCACATTCTGGTCTTGGAATGCTAAGTCCTGAGCTAGTACCACCGTGTCCTGTGGCCTTTTTGAGAAGCTGGGAGCCACGGTCTCTTTGGTTCTAGAGTGGATCTACGGACCTTTCCACTTGCTCACTTGCTTACTTCACAAAACCCAGGTGGCTCAGTCTCCTCCACAGACTGCCTCCTCCACAGAGAGGGTTGTATTGGTTAGCTCTTGCTCTGCAACAAGCCACCCACTAACTATGTGGCATAAAACAAATTTTTATTTCATTCTGATTCTATGGGCTGGTTGGGTAGTTTTGTTGGCCTGGGCCAGGCCAGCTGACTCTACTGGGCTCTCTCATGTTAGCAGCCAGCTAGCAGGTCAGCTGGCAGTTGATGATCCAGGCTTGCCTCACTCACACGCCTGGCAGTTGGCTGGCAGCTGGGGCAACTGGGTTCTCCTTCACGAGGCCTCTCAGACTCCAGCACGATGGCCTGGGCTGATCACATGGCCTTTAGGGCTCCACATGCAGCAAGAGAGAACTCCCAGTGTGTGTTTTTCAAGCCTCTGATTGCGTCCCATTTGGTAACGTCCCATTGGCCTAAGCAAGTCACATGGCTAACTCATATTAAAGGGATGGGGAAAGAGACTCCACATCTGGGTGGGGATGGAGAATTTGTGACCATTTTTACAATGTCCCTCACACAAAACAGCTAAAGCAGCCCAGTCACTCTCTACTATATTACCCTAAGTTATATTTTTTTATAAGAGCTATCAACACCCAAAATTACCCGTTTGTGTAGATGCTAATTATTCACCCTCCTACCCTCTGCACAATATAAGCTCTGTGAAAGCAGGGGCCCACTCTATTTTGTTCTCTTGTATTCCCAGGGCCATGAACAGTGCCTGGTAGGCATTCAGTAAGAACATGTTGACTAGACTTGTCTTGGGGTTATTGTGTGGCGGGCAGGGAGGGTGCTAGGTGGTTAGAGGAATTGATAAGTGGTTATTGGACCTCGTGGAATAAATTACTAATGTAGCCCAGCCAGTGTGGATCAGTGGTTGAGCATCGACTCATGAACCAGAAGGTCACGGTTTGATTCCTGTCAGGGCACATGCCCGGGTTGCGGGCTCGATCCCCAATAGGAGTATGCAGGAGGCAGCCTATCTGATGTTTCTCTCTCTCTCTCTCCCTCTCCCTGAAATCAATAAAAACATATTTAAAAAAATAGAAAAAATAACTAATGTAAATGCATAGGTGACAGTTAAGTAGGGGTATCTAGAAGGCACTCAGGGGGGAGGCCTAACATCCCTTTCAGGGTTTGTGGGTTCCTCTGGCAGCTCTGACCCCTGTGTTCCCTTCTCATCATTGGCATTTATTTATTCACAGGAAGGACCTGCTGACTTGAAACACTTTGACCCAGAGTTCACCCAGGAAGCCGTGTCAAAGTCCATTGGCTGCACTCCCGACACTGTGGCCAGCAGCTCCGGGGCCTCAAGTGCATTCCTGGGATTTTCCTATGTGCCCGAGGATGATGCCGTCTTGGATTGCTAGGAGACAAGTACCTGTGAAGCCACTGAAGACAGCTGGTACCTGTAAGGAATTACCTTCAGCTGCTAGGAACAGAGACTCAAAGCACCAATGGCTCAAATAAGATGATTTTTCCCATCACATAAAGAACTGTGTTAGGTGGTCCAGGCCTGGGACAACAGGTCATCATATACTCAGAGGCTTTCTGTATTTTGCTCTGCCATCTTTGGCAAATGGCTTCAATATCAATTGCTCCGTTATCATAAGGTGGTTACTGGAGCTCTAGCCATTGCTTTTGTGTTCTGAGTAGGGGAAAAAAAGGAGGGAGGGAGAGAAGAGCAGGACACTTTCACAGAACTTCCCAGAAGCCCCAACCAATGACTGCTGCTCGTTAGCCACCCATGCCTACCTGTCATGGAGGCTGGGATATGTGACTTATCACTGGCACATTATCACGCCTAATAACACAGGCTTTTGACACTGAGGAGGGGAAACATTGTGTAGGTAACCAGAAGGCCTCTTGGTGTTTACATTTTGATTTCCAAGTATAAAATGACAGAGATGTGACAAGCCTTTAGGGTATCACCCAACATCCTCTTATTTTCCTGTGTTGATGGTATCTCTTTGTTGTGGGTATTAGACACTTGTTATCAGGCTTGTCTGCGTGGCCTCTGAACCCCTTCCTATATTCAGGGGATCTCCTACTTTGTGAGTCTGGATGAGGGGCCATAACCTCCATTTACAGTAGCTGAGATTCTAGAAAGTGACTTTTGCAGCCTCCCCTGCAGCTAGGGCCAGGCATGTGGCCCAGGGATACTTGTGCCAGATTTTGACTCATAGAAGGGACGGGAGCTCGCTTTCATGTGGTAGCTGTGGTGACAGCACCCACAAAGCTCAGTTCCTGGTGTAGAAGTGGCAACACTGTAAATTGGAGCAGTTGGGACTCAGTGGCAGCAGCGCCAGTTTCTTCATGTCAATCTGAGATGTCATTCCCGTCATTCCTGGGAAGCCTTGAGTCTCGACCTCTAGCTTTCGAATAATCTTGAGAGTGTCTGATCCTCTTAACACCCTCTTTTTTTTGGCTGAATTGGCCCAAATCAGCTTCAGAACAGCAGCCTACGCGGAACTAGTTTCTGTGCTAGATTCTTTCAAGTCTACTATCAGTTTTTATCCAAACAACCCCAAGGTAGGAACTATTACTGTCCACTTTTACCAAGGAAGAAACAGGGTCAGAGTTGTTCCCTAGCTGGTCACATAGTTAGTAAGGGTCTGAGCTGGGACTTAGAGCCACATAAGCTGACTCAAGGGCTCTCACATGTATCCTTTGTGCGCGTCTGCCTCTCGCTGTTAGGTCCAACAGAATGGCCATTAAAACCTCTAGTGAAAACCAAATCTGGAATTAATCAGAAAAAACTAGGTGGTGGGAAATGGGGTGAAGATGAGACATTGAACTGGAGGCTCATGGTCTGAGCCTGGCTGCCAAGTTCATGCTGTGTTCCACCTCCCCTGCCCCTGTATGTCTGGCAGTTCTAAGGCCATGGGGAGCCCAGGCCTTGGACAGGGCCGGAGGCTGGTGCAGAGCTTCCCGGCCACCTGTGGAGCTCCATGTATTCAAGATTAGTCATTTCTCAAGGTAATTCTGGACAGAACCTGAGCACATAACCTCATGAACTCAGAACACCCTGCACTTGTAGATGGATCATTGTGCCGGGCCAGCACAGCCAAGGGTTTGGTGAGCCTGGGGGGAGGGGGGGAGACAGGGAAGGATTTAGAAAAGACAAAGAGAATAAGCTGGGTCTAGGTGGATCTCCTGTGACTGGCTGAGGTCACAGAGAGAGATCCAGAGGGCAAGCTGATGCTTTATTTTATAGCTGGAAGTAAACAAGGTAGTGGTCACCAGTTACAATGTTCTTATGCGTTTCACTTGTTTTGGCAGCACTTGCTGCACCTCCCACAGCCTGTTAGCTTCCCAGATAAGATCTAGGGCAGCGGTTCTCAACCTGTGGGTCGCGACCCCTTCGGGGGTCGAATGACCCTTTCACAGGGGTTGCCTAAGACCATCGGAAAACACATATATAATTACATATTGTTTTTGTGATTAATCAATCACTATGCTTTAATTATGTTCAATTTGTAACAATGAAAATACATCCTGCATATCAGATATTTACATTACGATTCATAACAGTAGCAAAATGACAGTTATGAAGTAGCAACGAAAATAATTTTATGGTTGGGGGTCACCACAACATGAGGAACTGTATTAAAGGGTCGTGGCATTAGGAAGGTTGAGAACCACTGATCTAGGGTGTGTCTTAAGGTCAAGCCTAATTATGCTAAGAGGGCTGTGCCCTCTAAGCTGGGACTTGTTTGTGGCTTTGCCAACAGGTCAGTCTGAGGCTTAACCTTATAGCCGCTCCCTACAGATCACACTGCTTTATTTCAGTGGAAAGGGGTTTCCTTTTCACAAACCTGTGATTCATCACCTCCTTCTGGGTGGTATTATCTTTTGGTCTGTGGGAAAGAGAGGGGTTGTCTTAACATCACTGTGTGCTGTGATTTTATTGCCTTTTCCTCTTAAGTTCCTCTCTCCCATTTTTCCAGCGCAGTCCCCTGCCCCAGGAACTATAGGGGATGAAGCGGAAGACCATGGAAAACACACCAATGACACTGACACTGGAGACCAAAGCTGGTCAGCAGAGCTGTTGTCACCCTTTGGCCTGCATTGAGAATTCTGAAAGTCTGATTTGATTCCTATCTTAATAGTGTCTGTTAGTTGACAAATGTGGAACATGAGGGAGGGGCCCAAATTCCCCCAGCTCCCCAGAGCAAAATTCAAGATTCTAATTGTCTGAAATGTGCTGGCACTGCCAAACGTACACAATTTGCTATGGACTAGGAAACCCATAATGACTCTCTCTAAGACTATAAGATCACAAAAATTTCAGGATAGAAAATAAAAATGAAGAAAAACTATGACATTGATCATGCTAAGCCTATGTTTATTGAGCACATTCTGAGTGTTACCTGCATTATCTACACTCCTCACAGTAAGCCAGCACCTAGAAATTAAACTTCCCTTTATAAATAAGGAATACTTGCTCAGAGAGATTAAGCAACTTGCCCAGGGTCACCCAGCTGGTACAAGGCACAGCCAGGAATGAAACTTGGTGGCAGCTGATTCTAAGGCCTTTGCTCTTTCCACAACTCCCAACAGTGGGAGACGCGCTCTGGACAGGCACTCTTGTTCTTCTAGCCAACACTGACTCTACATCAAGCAGAAGGGTACCAGCACTCAAGTGGCACCGCCTGCTCTCTACAGAGGAAACACATCGCTTCCATTTGTATCCCTCACCGAAGACTGTAGTCACCCAGTTTTGCACCAAAATACAGCATCCCCGGGAAGACAACTCCGAATCACCCGCCTCCACTTTTGAACTTGGCAATGACAGTAGTTGTGAAAAGGCACCACGAGTTTTGTTTTAAGATCCCTACACTCCTGCCACTCTGCACAGGCTGAAGGTTCTAACAAACATAAATTCAAACAGAAACTGTCCGCAGTCTGCTCTCACTGGGTTGGCCCGCGAGGCGATGGCACTGCACCAAGGTCCGCACGTCCAGAGCGCTCCCCTGGCGCAGGGAGGCCGTTTGCTGGCACCTGCGCGCTCTCAGGGCGATGGCTGTTTCGCAGGAGCAGCTCCTGCCCGGAACGCTCTTCCCAGCCCTCGCCTTAATGAGTATCCCTCTCCTTTCATATCGCTGCTCATCGGGGCGCCTTTCGGCCCAGCTCCGGCCCCTCGCAGCTCCCTCAAGACAGTTTATATTTTCACTTTTTTCTAAGATCTGACCAGGTCTAACTCCTCGCTGGGAGACGCCGGGACGGCGGGTTCATCGCCATATCCTGGGTCTGTTACTGTGGTGCTCAGCGTGGCAGGACAAATCAAAGAGAAAGAACGATCTCATGTCACCCTTCTCACCACTAAACGCTCCTCCGGGAAGTCGTCCCTGACCTCCCTGAGAGCCCAAACCCACGCGCATCGCGCTGCAAGTCCCAGATCCGGCGCTCCCGGCGCCCGGGCACCGTGTCCAGGTCTCAGCCGCTAAGCCCCGCCCCTTCCCCTTGGCGCCTGCGCTCTGGGGATCGATCCGGGGCGTTGCTCACCCGGGACCGGAAGTCTTCACTCTTCTTCATCCTAGGGGTCGAGCGAAGTTCCGGCCCTTGGGACCTACCATTTATACCAGCCTTTAATAAGACTTGATACTAAAGACACAATTAAATCGGTTTGTCTTTGGCCTAAAATCAATCCACGTTCTGTCTGGATTTAACCCCATCCAACATAATGGTACAGTCCCATATAAGTCCCGCCCCTACCACCACCGGCGTCTTCCGGTCTGTCGTCATCACGTGGCTCCGAGGTACGCCCACGCCCGGTCCACGCCTTCCCAGCGCGCCGCTCGGCCTCCGCCGTTGCTAAGAGGCCTTGGATACCTGGCGGCGGGATGCTGGGCGGCGTCAGGTGAAGATGGTGGTCACCGGGCCTCAGGTAAGAAGAGCTCTGACCGTGACGGGCCAGCGGGGCGTTGGGAGGCTTGGCGCTGTCCCCGGGGCCAGTCTTATGGAAAATAGAGGCCCCCTGGGGTAAAGTAAACTGGGCACCATGTAGGCCGGAATCCCCGACCCTGGACTGGGCTCGAGTCTCCGTCGCCTCCGGCTGCGCGGGTTTTCAGGGGTCCTGCAGAGTGTGAAAGAGCTGGGAAAGGACTCGTAACGTATTGGCCCCGTCCCCTTTTCCTAGGAATCCCGCCTTAGGAATCTGCCCTGCAGCAAAAGTAATGGCAGAAGTAGAAATATGTAAATTCCAGTGGTATCTATGCTGGCACGGAATTGAAAAGATGCCCACGAGGGCGGTGGTTCAGTTCATTATGGCATAGCCATGCAACCATTAACCTAATCAGGAAGACTTTTCCTGTGGGAAGCTGGAGAAAGCAGAGTACGATGTTGTATATACACACAAAAACCAAGCATGCACAGGGATGGAATGAAACAGGAAAAGATAGCTGTGGTGGGTTCATGGGGGCATTTCAAAAAATCTGACAAAACGATTTTAAAGTTAAACTGCAAAAGTAAATATGTGAGACTAGCCAGGAAAATCTAAAAATTAAGAGTAATAAGGTGTGTGTAAAAACCAAAAATTTAAAAAAAAGTAATAAGGGGGATTAGCTCTCCAGTATCACCAGAAATTATAACATAACTAGAGGCCCAGTGCACCAGATTCATGCACTGTTGGGGGGGGGGTTTCCCCTCAGCCCGTCCTGTGCCCTCTTGCAGCCTGGGAGCCCTCTGGGTATGTCCAACTGACAGATTAGGCCTGCCCGCTAGGCCGGCAGTTGGACATCCTTAGCACTGCCATGGAGGGGGGAGAGGCTCCCGCCACAGCCACTGCGCTTGCCAGCCATGAGCCTGGTTCAGGGCTTCTGTTCCCCTTGTGGGAGTGCGCTGACCACCAGGGGGCAGCTCCTGCATTGAGCCTCTGCCCCTAGTGGTCAGTGCGTGTCATAGCAACCAGTCGTTCTGCCATTTGGTTGATTTGCATATTAGGCTTTTATTATATAGGAAGGATTATAAAGCTGTAGTAATTAAAATAGTATGGAACTGAGCAGGAACTACAGGCAGGTAGAATGTATAGAATTCAGAATAAGATCCAGATATTTATAGTGATTTATTGTATAGTCAAGGTGATGTTTTAAATCAGCATCAAGCCCTAGCTAGTTTGGCTCAGTGGATAGCGCATCAGTCTGCGAACTGAAAGGTCCCAGGTTCGATTCCGCTCAAGGGCACATGCCGGGGTTGTGGGCTCAATCCCCAGTAGGGGGTGTGCGGGAGGCAGCTGATCAATGATTCTCTCTCATCATTGATGTTTCTATTTCTCTCTCTCTCTCTCCCTTCCTCTCTGAAATCAATAAAAATAAATTTTTTTAAAAAATCAGCATTGAGAAGTTTGATAGGTGTCAGGCAGCTTTCTAGTAAAAAGTAACAATTTATTTTCATCAAAATAAATTCCAAATGGACCATTATTTTTTTATTGATTGATTTTAGAGAGAGAGGAAGGGAGAGAGATTGATTTGTTGTTCCACTTATTTATGCATTCATTGGTTGCTTGTATGTGCCCTGACTGGAGATCTAACCACAATTTTGGCATATCGGGGGGATGTTCTAACCGATTGAGCTACCCAGCCAGGGTCTCAGCATTTACATTTTTAAAAATGACACGCAAGTATGGGAAGAAAGCATTGTCGGGTGTATTCATAACCTTAGCATGGCAAATATTCTTCTAATTAGGTCATACAATTCAGAAGCAAGAAAGGAAAAGATTAATACTTTTGACTCTAAAATTTAAAACCTTCTGTATGGCCTGCAAAATTTCACCAAATCAAACAAAGAAAGCTCCTTCCTATAAGCTACATTTAAAGACAAATTTGTGAAAGTATTTGTTTAATGATCAGTTAGAAAAATATTAAACCCAACAGAAAAATAAGGAGAGTATATGCACAAGGAAATCAGAAGAAATACAAGTGGCCAGTATAAACAGTTAAAGATGGCCATCTCACTAATTTTAAAGTGCTAATTAAAACTAAATGGGGTGCCTATCTTATTAGAAGAGATAAAAAGAATTAGAAATAGTATTAGTATTAGTAGAAGTAAAAGTTACAAATTTTTGTAGGGCACTTCACTTAGCCATTCAATAGGTAGGAATTTATTCTACAAATATGGAAAGTGCACAAAAGCATCATGTTCAAAGGTGATTGGTAATATTGTTTTACTAGCAAAATTTTGGGGGGAAAATGTTAATTTGTATATAACTAGTTTAATTATGGTATATATCTATAAAATGGAATACTGTGCAGTTGTGTGTGTGTTTTTTTTTTAAAAAGATCCCTAAGTACCAACATGGAAAGATGTGAAAAAATACAGAGTTAAGTGAAAAAAGAGTGTTGTGAAATAGTGCATATGATAAAATCCTATTTTATAAATAAAACTACAAGTTATGAATGTATAAAAAGAATCTAGAAGACTATACCTCCATGTTGACCAATGTCACCCCAATAAACTTAATGTAAAAAAAAAAAAAAAAGGAAAGGAAAAATAAGACTATACCTTATAGTTAACAGTAGTGAGCAGTAAGGAATCATGGTCTCCCACAGGGATAGGGTGAGGGCAGGGCAGGGCCATGTGAGTCGGCTGGTGGGAAGGCCAAGGCAAGAGACACGAGGTCACCAGGGTTGGCCGTAGGTTTCTGCAGCTATGCGTTTCACTATCAACCCTTGAGAATTGCAGAGATTTCATAGGTATGTTGCAGCTTCCTACCCTTTCTCATTAAATTAGAAGAAGTAGACGCCTTTGTTTCTTTTGGGGTCTTTCTTCTGGACTGTTGGTTATTGTTTTTCTTTTTCTGATCCCTTCTTTTTTCCATAGGTAACCATGGAGAAGGAGCTTCGGAGCACCATTCTTTTCAATGCATACAAAAAGGAACTATTTACCACCAACAACGGCTATAAATCGATGCAGAAGAGACTTCGAAGCAATTGGAAGATTCAGAGGTGATCTTGTGGATTGTTTTCCCTTCCAAATAATAATAGCCTGCTGCTAAAACTGAAATTTTTCATTTTCTTATATAGGCCAGATTGTTTAGGTGGGAAGAGCTCAATTTAAGGATCATTCAGAAGTAAATAAATTATTAAAGCATCTCTTGAAAATTGGCAGTTAGCATATTATTAAGTTATCCCCCAAATCACAAAAAAATTATTCTAATTATACATATACAACTTTTTAAGAGGTTAGAGGTGTTCTCCATATTTTAACTTAGGTTATACTTCAATTTAGAGAAAGGAAAAATGAAAATCTTTCTCTTTTGGGGGTGTGTTGTTTTTCTTAGTGGGTAGGGATATGTAGTCATACAAGCTAATGGTAGATGTGATTGCATTAGCGGTGGGAGGGTTCTTTCTGCTCTGGCACAGTTTAACGTGGCTTCAAGGAAGCATCTGAGCAGAGCCCGATGGCTCTGGTGCCAGCTCGTAGCGGAGATTCTCACTGGGGGAGGCTGGAGTGGCATCTCTAAATCCCGTTATTTCCAGGCCTCGGCGGCCCCTGGGTCCATAAAGTCTAGAGGCTAAAATGACATAAATGGTTTAATTATGGATCTAACACTTGCTTTTAAAATCATATTTGTAGCTTAAAAGATGAAATCACATCTGAGAAGTTAATTGGTGTGAAACTGTGGATTACAGCTGGGCCAAGGGAAAAATTTACTGCAGCTGAGGTAAGAAATACCCTTTAAAAAATAAAATAAAATAAATATATTTATAAAGAAGAAATATAATGAAATGGTTAGGAGCCTGGGCTCTGAAATTCTGGATTTAAACTCTTATTTACTACTTACTGTGTTGCCTTCAGGTGCTGATGTCATCTCTTTTTTGATCGAGTTGTGATGGTCAAATGAGATAATGCATGAAAAGTGGCAGACACGTAGTGTAGGCTCATTAAATATTAGTCGCACTTCTTTGCCATATTTTTGCTTTGAAAATAGGAAAACTCCATTTTAAATTATTTTATTTCATGGAATAGACAAAGAATGGTAAATGTAAAACCCAGAACACAAATAACAAGTGTTGGCAAAGATGTAGAGAAATTGGAACCCTTGTGCACTGTTGGTGAAAATATAAAACGGTGCAGCCTCAAACAGTATGGAAAAAGTATGGTGGTTCCTCAAAATTAAAAGTAGAATTATCCTATGATCCAGCAGTCATACTTCTGGATATACATATATCCAAAAGAATTGAAAGCAGGATCTCACAGGTTAGTTACTTGCACATCCATGTTTATATAATGCACACTAGCCAAAAGGTGGAAGCAACCCACGTGTCTATCAACAGATGAATGAATAAACAAAATGTCTACACATACAATGATGTATTATTCAGCCTTAAGAAGGAAGGCAATTCTGATACATGCTACAACATGAATGAATATGGAGAATGTTATGCTAAGTGAAATAAGCCAGACACAAAAAGACAAATACTTTATGATTCCATTTATGTGATGTATCTAGAGTAGTCAAATTCATAGAGAGGAAAGTACAATGCTAGTTGTCGGGTGGGAGTATGGGGGAGGGAAGTGTGGAGTTGCTGTTTAATGGATGTAGAGTTTTAATTTTGTGAGATGAAGGCTTCTGTAGATTGGATGCACAGCAGTGTGAATATATTTAATACTATTGAACTGTA